TTTTTTTTTGCTTTCTCTTATGTTTCTACTCTGTGCCTGTGACTGTGCTGCTATCAAGGAGGGGTCGCCCAAGGGGCGACCCCGGTTTCTTGTATATATCATAAAATATGGAGAGAAAAACTGTACTCATTCTCAAAAACGAGACTAAAAAATTTTTTTTATGTTGAGAATTCACCGCTTGGCTGGCAAGCCACAACGAGGGCCGAGCGCCGTACTTATAGCAAGGGCACAGACGTGGCGCGCGAACCCTAAAGAAAAGCCAACCAAAAGCAAAACCACCAAAAGCGACACAAACCAACCCAAGAATCAGACGCCAGGGACCCGCCGTCTGCACTCTGGCGCCAAGGAAGCGGCACGCGGCTCCTGGGAGCAATCCACCAAAGCAACGCAAAATAAGCACCAACACCCGGCGAAGCGGGGGCAGGAGTGGGCGCCGCGCTGCGGACCGTGAAGGCACTCAGCCAGAGAGCCAGCAGCCGCCGCCGCCGCCTGTCAGCTCTTGCTCTCGGAGCCTTTCAGCAGATTCACCCAAGAGCTGCGCCACGGGTATCAAGCCCGAATGGGGCACGCACCAGGTGACAGATTCTAGTGCCGGAGAGGCTCGAGGGGTGAATTAAGTTGCGTCTTTTTCTCAGCGTCCGCGTCTCAGGTGTGTCTTAACCCTCAAAATTCAAAGGCTGAGAAAAAGATGCGTTTTAGTTCTTACATAGGCGGAATCCAGTGAGAAAAGGCGCGCGAAGCTTGTCCAGATTTGAACGCGCTGGAGCCTCCACAAATCTGGACCGCTCTAGGGAGCTTCCCCCACTAGGTTCCTGCTATCTTTGAAGTAAAATGGACAATCTTCTCAGCGTCTGGGTCTGGGGGGTTGAGTCACACCCCAGACGCAGGCGCTGAGCTTGAGAAAAGTACGCAATTTAATTCAAACCGCTTGAGAAGGTACAACAACACACGCACACCAAGTCCCCAAGAGGGTCACGCAGCGTCACCGCTGTGCGCCGCCCTCAGAGAGGTGCTGTCTGCGTGGCTCTTGGCTACTCCAGGAGTGGGCCCTGTTTCTCTTGGCACAGCATCGCTACGAGCTGTCTGGCGTGTGCCTCGTCACCAGCGACGCACATGAGCACCGGCACCCGCCGCGCGTGTGCGCAGGTGACTCCCAAGGGCAGCAAGGTGGTCATGGCGTGGCGCCAGAGCCGCAGGAAGTGAGCGCCTGGCGCCCTTGTTCTTGGGCTGGCTTGTGTCGCTTTGGGTGGCTTTGTTTGACCTCTCTCCTGGGTTTCCCGTGCCACGCCTGTCCCCTCGCCGTATGGATTGCGCCCGGCGCCGGTTGTGAGTGGCCAGCCAAGCGGCGAAATCTCAACACGCGAAAAATTTTTGGGTCTCGTGTCCGAGAATGAGTACAGATTTTTCTTCCATATAAAAAAATCAAATCGCGAACGCAAGCCATTTTTTGGATCCGCAAACTACCAGCCCGAACCCAATAAATCCACTCCCCCATTACCAGCCCAAACCCACTAAATCCATTCCCCCATTACCAGCCCAAACCCACTAAAGCCACCCCCTCCCGCTACCAGCCCGAACGCACTGAATCCGTTTCCCAACTACCAGCCCGAATCTACTAAATCCATCGTCCCCCCATTACCATCAGAAACCCACTAAACCCATGCCCCCACTACCAGCCCTAACCCACTAAATCCATTTCCCCACTACCATCCCGAACCCACTAAGCACATCTTCCCACTGCCAGCCCGAACCTACTAAACCCACCCCCCCCCACTGCCAAGAAGCCCACTAAATGTATCACCCCACTGCGCTGCCAGCCCCTACTAAATAAACTGAAACCCATCCCCCCACTAACAGCCCGAGGAACCCACTAAGCCCATCCCCTCACTACCAGCAGAAACCCACTAAATCCATCTCCCCACTACCAGCCGAAACCCACTAAGTCCATCCTCCCACTACCAGCCCAAACCTACTGTGCTCGCACATCAGTGGGTAAGGCAAGTAACTGCGGATATGGGGCGCTAGCTCACCCGCAGTTACATCCCAAAGATGTCGTGTGGTTACTTAGCCTTAACTCCGTCGCACCATCAGCCTTAACTCCATCGGCACGCATATTTTGGCTTTTGCCCCACTGCGTTCCCGCTTTTGACATAGACAGGGGCAGCCAGCCCGGCCAATGACCCACAAGGGCCACCAAATGAAAAGCACCGACGCAGCGCTGGCGCTCACTTTTTGGCCTTTGCCCCACTGCGTTCCCGGTAGGTTTTCACCCAGAGCGCGGAGGCCGGTCCGGCCAATGATCCACGACCACCGGCGAAAACTCCAAAGCTTGCAGGCGCGATTTTTGATCTTGGCCTCACTGTGTCCCGGCGTCCGCCAAGGGGGTGCCTAGGTAGTTTCTCTCCTTAAGGACGGCCGTCCCTTAGCGCTCTACTAGATGCCGTATGACGGGCTAGTATGTATCTATGTCCTCGCAAGCTGCTGCAGCAGATGGAAATGTTGACGACTTGAAGAACCAGAGCCTCAGCTTTTTACTCGAGAAGTAACCTATGAACTTAATGAAACATACAAGAGTGTTACCTGGTAGGTCTTTCGAAGGAGAAAACGGGCCACCATGCTGAGTGATAGATTCGTTCAGCCCACCTGCAAATGGATCTGGCGAATTGTGGCCCTCTCCACGGAACCCGCTGAAGAGACTTTCACCTGCGGCTAGTCGCGCCTCTGCTTCCGCGCGGGGCCTTCCTGCATCGATTTGTTGCTGCTTCGCGATTTTTCTTTGGTTGGCGCGTCTTTTTTCTGTTCCTGCTGGAATAGGTGCCCACACTAGAACAATTCATAAGGGTGCCAGATCCAAGATGGGACGGATCGGATGAAACGGCTGGACTTCCCACCATTTCAAGGAGGATCGGAAGATTTGGGGGGGTCCATCCGATCCATCCAAGTCCATCCACATCCTACATCCGTTCTATAAATTATTCTATCATACTGCGCGGCGAAATCAGCCGAAAGTCCCATTCTAATTGCTACATGCTTGCGGGGCGCTGTCCCCGTTAACGCGTGCTTGAAAACATCGTCGCTAGCTCAAATAAGTAGCATTTCAATAAGATGAGTACAACGCGGTAGGTATAGTAGACAATCAGCCTGGGACGGTCGAAAAAGCAAGTTGTAGGCCCATTTCTCCACCTACCTCGATCATGACTACGAACACGAAGTTTAACATGTTAAGTTTTATATTCCACATCCACTGGTTTTGCTTTTGTGAATATTTGTTAAAAAAAGTTGTGCTAGAACTGAGTTAGCATGTATTTAGTACGTGCTTGACAACATGCGTGCTTGACGAATGCGGCTGCTTCGTTGAATCATTCGAGACCTGTCTAATCATTCGAGACCTGTCTTGCACACAATCGTCAACTCCATCCTCTTCGCGTGTTTTTGAAATTTCTTCAGGACGCCACATCAGTTGTGGTATTGGGGGCTTCTGCGTGTTTCCATCGACAAGGGGCTTGGGAATGGTGGCATTGGGATCGTAGGGATCCACCGCCTTCCATTGTCTTAAACGTGTTTCGCAGAGCGCGCTCTTGCACCTCATTACGATTTTCACCCACGGGAGTCACCTGTAATATTCTTGCTTGATACTGCTGCTGAATCTGAAAACAAGATTTTGTTGCTACTCCTGCAGATTAACCATGAAGATAAAAGAGCAAGAACGAGGTAGGTAGGTCTGAAGTCGCTCAACAAGATACAACAAGCTGTGAGCATAACGACTTTCATTCACATGGTGACAGCTGCCTGCACCAATTTCGGAGCGGATGATCTTTTCCTCTACGTTTATCATTATCACTCTCTGTCTCTCGTCAGTACTTTCCACCGATCTGAAAACACACTCAACTACTCAAGGCAAAAGTGCCGACACGTGTTGGCCCAATTTTTGTCTTCGACTACAGAGGGAAACGACATTCCTCCACGCAATTGATTATGGTTGTCCGACGATCGTCTTTATCAGTGAACTATGGGATAAATGCGAATCTAAATTCCTGGAGCAGATAGAAGGATGCTTGATAGGTACAGATTAAGAGCCAGATGAACTTTGAGGAAGTCTGTGCATGTGTTGACTTCGTATCATATTGAGGAATAGGTGGTGTGAAGAGGAAGAGTGTGTGTATTTTGTTGCTTGACTAATATAAGTAAGAACTTCACTTCGATTTCGAAACGATAAATACTAGTGACGAACGCGACGGACTGTTCTCGGAACGGGAACTCGCAGGAAATATGTTGATGAGATCATAAACTTGCAAAAATTAATGTCAAATTTCTGATAGATATGGAGACTGGAATCATCAAGGCTGTGAATGTTGACGTTACTCCTCATCATGGACAGATAATTTTCATTTTGCATGCAGAAAACTAGTTTCTAGCAGGAGCGAGCGACTGGTTCTAGTACGGTGATAATGATGCTGCGCCTGGTGACGTCGTTGGTCATCAAGGGGCTTATAGTATGCCGAAGCAAAGGTCCTAGAAGCACGAAGAAGCTATTTTCGGCATCAAAGTCAAGAGGAGGAAATTCATCCAGATATTCACGATTCTTGCATAGATTCAGAAGAAAAATTTGATACATGCATGTGGACCAATTCAGAACTACGATGTACAATTATATCATGATAGTCTGTTAGAGTTAGTGTTATCCTTATCCATTTCGATGCAACATACCGTAGTCCATCGCAAGCGATGATGATCACAGCGGTCGCTTTCTTGTAAGATACATTTTTTTAGTTGACATAGATATATGTATTAGGTGCAAATTCAAATAATACAGTAATTGTGTAGAAGTTGAAGATGATGTTGAGTGAAGACTGTACAAAATAATATTTCTCCTCTTGTAGTTTCAAGTTGTCGATACCTACTTACTCTTCTTCGATGCCGTCCTCTTTTCCGGAAAGCATAGTCGCCTCCTCAACACCAGGCCGTGGCCAACTATTTTCACTGGACGACCTGAAAACATAGTTACAGTTAGTGTTTGAAGATGTTACAACGTATTAATTTTACTCGAAGTAGTAGTGGTGCAAGTGCGAAGGTGGAGAGACGAAGAAGAGGGACTTCCACGATACTCATCATGATCACTAACTTGTACTCATCTGCCTCTCGGGGTCTTCGCTCGACTTCGAAAGGTGGCATTTCTGGCGGCTCAGGGTCGGATGCCTCTCCAAATGCGGTATCCACCAGGGGGCTGTCGTCACCTTCATCGAGCGGAAGTCCTCCCAGGAGCACGTCCTAACTTAGAAACATCTTCGCAAACGGAAACGACTGGGTGTGGGTGTTTGACCTACAAATAATTTTCGTTTGCATCAGAACTCAACAGCTAAACAAGACAAAAAGCATTTTTCGGAGGTTTCTGTTTACACGAAGGTGCCAGAGTGTGAATGCCGATGAAAAAATATATTAGATCAAGTAGGTAAACTAAACACAAGTCGCAAAGCAAATGAGAATAAGGCTAGGCTTCTCCCGCCTGATATCGGGCCGAGTTGCTCGAGTTGCTCGAGTTGAACGAGTTCCATACCAAAAAAACCTGCGCCGCGCCCTTCAGGCGCACCGTCTTCGATGCGTCAAATACGTCACCCAGGAGCGCGAACCACCTCCAAAAGCGAACGCCTCCAGTAGGCAGTAGCGTCGCTTCTCACTCTGCGAGGCGCTGCATGCGCGGGGCAGACAGGAGCAGCGCCACCCAGCTCGTAGCTTTGTGTTACTAAGTTGGCGCGCCTACCTAGTGAAGCTGCTGCCCTATAAAACAAGCACACAAATAAAGCCACTCCATTCAGACACGTCTACTCAAGAGGGCCTTGCTTGTGATGCTAGCGACTCACTAGGTGGCGCGCTACCTAGTAAGCCCACTACAGCGCAAACAAATGGGCGCCAGGGCGTGAGGCTGGCCGCTGATGGGGAGGCTTCGTTCAAAAAACAAGCCGGGCGCCCTCATATAGATACTCCCGAATCTCGGGCCCCAAGAAGTTGAACAAGCTGGCCACTCATCAGCAAAAAAGTAAACCATCGTAGCCAGATCGCGACCGACATCAGCGCACGACTATGCAGGGACACCGACACAACGAAGAGGGCGCCGCACTTCACAAGGCACGGGCCCGCGCCCCTCAAACAAAAAAGGCCCCGAGCTTCGCCCTGTTACTTTCGCGAAGCTAAAGCCGCGAGGAGCTCAGCCGGGGCGCGTCTCTTCAATATAGGCGGCAGACCTGCCAAGAGACAACAGGCCGCGCCTTTCTTCCGAACTCCGTGGCATCTTGGCCCGCCATACCGCCGCGGAGTGCTGCGCTTTCAAAGTGGCAGGCTGCCCAGAGGAACCCGTTGGCAACTCGCTCTGGGTTGGGCCTGTGCGTTTCGGCAACTCGTGGCAACTCGAGCAGCCCGTAACTCGAAAAGGAGCGGACTACTCTATAGATAATGATAATGAGTGTGATTGTCCATAAAATTTCTTTCGCAGTGATCCTTCGACTTGAACTTGCAGCTTTCACACTTGCTCCAGGATCGTCACCCATGATGGCGCTCGTGTCCACTTGTGGGAAAACGAGAAAACCTTCTGCATCAACTTCGTCAACACTTCCTCCACTTCCACGTTGATTCGTCTCAGGGACCTGTATTCTATTGTCACCGTTGAAAGAACTTCTTTTCAAAAAAGTCCGTTGCTGTCGCGAAGACATTGCCACTGACATAGACACTGACATCAATCTACATTACTAAGTGCGACTTTTGGAGACCACCGCGCCCGACAATCACCGGTGGCGGAAAATCTTGGCGAAAAGTTGCCGAGGCTCACGCGCGCGGCCCTTGTCCTTGTCTCATTAAAACGAAGCCCAAAGGAGCTCCGAAAACGAAACCGACACAACCCACACACGGACAGGCCAACCACTGCGCCGAGAGCATCACAAGCCGGCGAACCAGTCCGCGGCGCAGCCTCGCGCCAAATTCTCAAACGAATGCACAACGCCAGAGGCCTCCCAAGCCTGGAGAGAAGAACAGAGAAACCACAAAAACCACAGACAACAAGCGCGGAGCCTTATGCGGTTTCGTTGCAAGCTGTTGCGAGTTTGTTCTCAGCGATCCATTTCCATGTCTTCATCAAAAAAACATGGAAGACGAAAGCTTCAAAATCTTCGCGGAATGTTTGCGGAAAGTTTACAAGTTTTGACAATGTTAGAACTTCATGCGCTTATGTTTTCGGAAAGATTCCGCAAAGATTCTTTTGAAAGATTTCGCAAACTTTTCGCCAAGATTTTTTTTTTTTTCATATAGAAAAAAAAACGAAGAGCCACCTCAGGCGTGCAAGCGCAGAAAGATGGCCAACGCCGCCCCGTTTTGCCACTGCTTCCCCGCCCGCGTTTCCCGCGTCCTCCGCCCGGGTTCTCTACACCTCGAGGAGCTTGCACAGGCGTGCCGCGGCAGTATTCCAAGCAGCACCGACGCCAATGACGTGCGGGCGGTCCGCACTCACCTGGCGCCGGGGCTGTCAACAACAGAGAAACACAACACAAAGACAAAGCACCCGAGGCCACGCCGCCGCCTTTTCCATACTCGAAAAGACGGAGGCAACGAAGACCAACCCGGGCAACTTTTCGCGAAGATCTCGCGGCCATGTTTCGCATCGACGCGGTGGTCTCCAACGACTTTGAGAAAGCTGACTTACGCGGCCGCTCTGTAATTATCGCCCATTTCTGACGATCATGATCAGCAAAGGCCTCTAGTTACGGTATGGCCCTTAGTCTTATACTGGAGAAAATTCAGCCAAAGACTGCAAAAATCCAGACAAAGCCCAACCCTGCCAGGCATCCACGACACGAATCCGCAGAACACTCGCCGCCTACTGCGCTCCCTTTGGGAAAACCTTCCCCCAACTGCGAGCCAAGAACCTCGGGCGCCCTCCAAATCCCCACGCCCCTCCAGAATCCCAAAGCACACGCCTGCAGGCTGGCGCGGTGGACTCTGGAGGGGCGCGGGGAATCACATGAAACGAAACCAAAAGACAGAAAAACTAAGGGGAAGCAAGCCACGAAAGTCGCCAAGCGGAGCACTTCCAGGACTAGGGGGCGACAATAGTGACCGCTCTCGTGCAGTTCTTAGCTGAATTAGCGCCATTCTAATCAACCTCCTGCGGAAGCACCAGAGGGACAGCGAGCATGCTACTCCATCGAAACTTAACAAAAAGAGGAGGCGCGAGCCCTTTGGAACTGAAGCGGCGCACAGCCCAGCCCTTCTTGAAAAACGCTACGAAATGGAGCAAATCCCTCTACTGTTTGCCGGATTCGTTCCTGCTCGCAAGGCCATTCTTGGAGAAGTCTTAAGATATCACTCCAGCTTTTTCGTCAAGAATGGCCGGCCTTGCGAGGGCGAGCAGGAATCCGGCAAACAGTCGAGAGGCTTACACAATTCAAGCGAAACCCTCGAAAATTTCCCCACTGAAATACTTCAAAAGAATGCGAACAACGCCAGCAAACCCCCCCGACAATCTGCGCACACACGGCGGCGCGCGTGAGTGGTCTGACCATTTAAAGGCGGCGGCGTCGGCGTGTCTCTCTTCTCTGTAACTAATCCCACTCAGCGCGAGAGCCTCGGGGCGCCGGGTGGTCAAAAGTCCAACACTGAACAAGATCAAAAGGCCCAAGAACGAAGAACCTCAGGCGGATTGCCTCAAGCCTCTCCGGTTATGGCAAAAAACCCGACCACAGACAAGCGGGGCCTGAATGGAGAAAATTCAGCCAAGGACTGCAAAAATCCAGACAAATCCAACCCTGCCGGGCATGATACGAATCCGCAGAACACTCGCGCTCCCTGCGGGAAAACCTTCCCCCAATTGCGAGCCAAGAACCTCGGGCGCCCTCCAAATCCCCACGCCCGTCCAGAGCCCCCAGGCACACACTTGCAGGCTGGCGCGGTGGACTCTGGAGGGGCGCGGGGAATCACATGAAACGAAACCAAAAGACAGAAAAACTAAGGGGGAGCAGGCTACAGAAGTCGCTAAGCGGAGCACTTCCAGGACTAGGAGGCGACAATAGTGACCGCTTTCATGCAGTTCTTACTCTTAGCTGACGTAGCGCCATTATAAATATGACTGATGGAGATGGCTTCGCCGCTTTATCTTTTCCAGGAAATTCCCAGGCTTGTCTTATCAGACATCAAGCTCAAAGTGCGTGTCGTTACCTCTCCCTGTGTAGCTGCATAGGCCAAAAGCGCATCAGCCCTACCCGAATCGAAATCGAGTGGCGACGTTGCGCTGCCGTACTCAAGATCAACGTAATTCCCTCGGCTGCCCTTTCTGTTGTCCTGGCCACCGTCATTCAAGTACGCCACGCAGCAAGCCGCAATCCCGAGCACAACGATTACCGCTATGACGATCCCAGTAATCACTAACTCCTTGGGCCAACCCTCTGCTGCAGTTCTTAGAGCAAGAAAAAATAGATGATATTCTAATTCTTTGTCGTGTAGCATTACTAGCACAATGCATGTGTTATCGAACAATTCTAAACATAATTGTCTTTTCTACGTTTGCTAAAACAATAATTCCCAAGTATGATCCATACGCTTCAAGCGGACTGATCAGCATGCTGGCATTCTTGAGAAGGTTGAGATGAGCGACGATGGAAAATTCATCATGAAGAAGTATTTCTTGGCAAGCAACGAAGCATTGGCTCTCACGCGCTACTTCCAGTTCTACCATCTTAGCAGATCAGTTGTATACTGAGTATGTATAATCAATCTATAATGGCGTTGTTTTTATGGTCGATCCCAGATAAGGAAAACAAATGTTTTTAGATGGCATAATGTCTTTTTAGAAGCTCGCGCACCGCGCGAAACCCAGTTCTGTTTGAACTGAAGGAATTTGGAGAGCGGAGCCGAAAGTGTAGATCCAAACCATTCTTGACCAAACGCGTTGCCGACATCTTCTTGATGTTCATCGTTATTCGCGACGGATGACCCCTCCCTGCTTGTTGCCAGCGTCAGTGTTTGTTCAGCACGTTGATCCTCGTGTAGCACGAACTCAATGAGTCGTGTAGTCGCAAAAGTGGAAGGACTGGAGGATGCAGCCATCGCCGACGCAGTGCCATTGTTGCTTGATGAATTTCCATCGAAAGGGGACAACGATGAATCGGAACTGAATTCTGTTGTTGAAGAACTAAAATCAGAGTGCCTGCTCCCTCGACGTCCGGCAACTAGTTGTATCATGCTGCTCGCTAGTACACCAGCAATGCAACAGTTCGTCGCTCGCTGAGAACGTCTGCTTGCCCATGCCCGTGAGGATCTTACTAGTAATATCGGAGACGCCAACATCCTTGTTGATTTAGGCGAGCACGTCGACCCATCTTCCTTCTGCATTTTGTTCTTTCGTCCCCTTAGTTAAGCAAAGGCTTCAGGTAGGACCACTGAATAAAGCACGACGAAGAGCAAACGCTTCTATGATCACGGCTACATTATCCTGAGACTCAGTTAACGTGAAAATGCTACATCAAACAAACACAGTCAGCAACATCATCATCAGATAACTATAAGAATAGTTTGACAAATTGCTTGCTGATGCCTTGCTCTTTTTTTTGACGGACCATGCGGTACTACAAACTACTTCCGATCAATGTACTTACGCATAAATAAGAGATCCGATCTAAGAACTCCTACTCCTTCGGGAAGCACTACTAAATAAGAACCAGTTGCCCGGATCGCGTTCGGGCCACCCCATTTAGTTGAAGTTCTAGACGATGGAGACAACCAGAATGCATGTAGAATGAGGTAACTTAAATGAAATAAGTGATCAAATACGTATTGCTGGTAATATAGCTACACATCACAGATACTTAGTGGCCGCTCCAACTTTGCTACAACATAAACATTGCGACTGAAACGTTGTTACATGTTGATACGGGTTCACGAGGGCGATCAGTGACGTCAGTGTGTGAGCGGGCGTGCATCATCAAAGGTTTTTACTTTGATGCAGAAGAGCAAGAAGAGGAGTTCATGAACATGTACATGCGGCTCATGTGTCGACTTTAAACAGATTCGTGACAGAGCAGGGAGTGGCGGACATCGATCGAGACCGAGAGTGACAGATTTTAGCCACTCCTGCTTGATGAAGCTAGTAGTTATCTACGACCTTATGGCCGTGACAGATCTAAGTCATTCGATGTCGATGATTGACAGATTCAAAATGAACCGATCTAGAAGTAGCATTGGTTTGCCGATTACAAATTACGGTCTTTCTCTTTCATATAAAATATTATGATTTTGTCCTCTTACAATCGGATCCAGGATCGGGATGAGTTCGAAACACTCACGTCAGACTTCTTCAAGAAGATGATAGAGAAATAGAGAAGCCACCGTGCGCCTCCTTGTCCAGAAGCTGCATGACGCAGTGTACCAGTACCTACGAGGAGGAGGACCTGCAGAACAGATTGTGCAGCGGAAAGCGAAAGGTGTTCTTGAAAGAAATCATACATCGCCAAATAAACTTCAATTTCAAATATTCATAATTATTACAATTCTTTTGCGCATGCGCATGGACGAGGTCAGGTCTTAAGGGGATCGACACGTGAGGACCAAGCGCCAAGAAAAAACTCATAGAGATTCAATGAATCAGAAATGAACCAACCGCAAATTGAGGAACAACAAAAAAAGGACTTCGCACAAGCGGAGTTCGAGTTGCCTCAATGCATGACTCAATACTATGATTTGTATCCCCGAACTCAAATATAATGCTAGTGGCTCACCCTATTTCGGAGACACGGCTCCTGCTTTTGTTTACGATAACCATCGATGTGAGGCCCCTATTGTTCTCCATAATCATCTCAAACGAAGAAAATTCGACAAATTATAGTTCGAAGTCATTGAGTTAACAGCACATAAGAAAGTTTCAATTAGTTCGAAGTCATTGAGTTAACAGCACATAAGAAATTTTCAATTTGCAAAGCATATTACAACTGACAGTATAGACAGAAAGAAGTAGTTCGACAAAGGAGTATTATTATTTAGCTGCTAAAAAAATGTATTAAATTCCATTCGTGGCATTTAGATTTACTTGATTTGATTGACTGGGTGATTTTTTCTTTGTTAATTATCAACAATAATGATTGTGATTCCCTCAGGGGCATTGGAGGTAAAAAGGACTATGGGGAGTTGCTATAGATGCGTCGGCGGTATTTTTGCTAATGGTGAAATTCCCCTTCGTGAAGACTCCTCCTGTTCCTCAATCGATCGTGATGTCTAGTTGTTGGACGACGAGGGGCGTTCACCATATCGCTTTCTGACGTCATGATTTCCTTGTCCCCCCAATTGCTACTTCCGTGGTCCCTTCTTGCCTGGTGCAGTCTTTTTGCGTTTCGCGGAGGTATCTTGATCGTCGTCAGCTAGGAGGTCGTCTTCCTGATCAGCGAAGACGTCATCCAGGTCGTCGGTAAGCTGCAGTTTATCCTCGTTCTTCTTCTTATTTTTTGAGCCCGGCGCTGCTCGCTTCATACTGGTCGACGAAGAAGATGTAGAAGGGCCTACTTTGGCTGCTGCGCTAGCACGTACCCCTGCGGGAGCTGGTTTTGATTTTGACGAGGTCGCGCCGCCAGACTTGACCCGCGGTGAAGGTAGAGGAGCGTCCTCATGCACACCCTCTACTTCTGGCTGGCCGTTGTATTCCTCTCCCACTGGCTCAGGTGCTTCTGTTTCTACTTCCGCAGCAGCCTTATTGTTCTTCTTCCCTTTGCCTGCTGGATCTTCTGGGGGAGGTGCCGCCGTTCCTGCCTTGTATAATTCGACGACATCTAGTTCAGGCTTCAGAAGCTTCAGCGAAAAACCTACTTTGTTCTGCGGATCCTTTACTATTTCCACATTTTCTTTGTTTGCGAGGATCAGCGACGTCAAAAATTCTCGACATGCTTCATAGCGCGGACGCGATGGCTCACATACCTGGCGCAGGACAAGTCAGTCCAATGATTCTCGCACAATCAACCTGTGCCCACTGCCGCAAGAGGAACGAATCCGATTTCGTCAAGAACAAGGAGGGAAGGCCGAACAGCCCTATTTAATGCTGGTTGTCAACTACAAGGATGCACGCAGATATTAAGTACAGATTGAAATTGAGGGCTTGACACTCACTCTCAACACATGTTGAGCAAGTATCTACAAGAGAAAGTAGTTGAGAAAAGGCTTACCTGCTTGAAGTCGACAAGGCTGCCCTTACCGAAGGCGGATAATTTGCTGACCATATTTTGGCCATACTGTCCGAAATCGAAGTCATTCCGCTTCGCGTCTTCTGCAAGAACCGGCTCGATGTCGTCCTGCCATTTTTGTACAACTTGGTAGATGTTGTTTAAATCATCGCCAGCTGATTTTCCATTTTCGTCGGATACTTTTGCCAGGTGCTTGTTCACTTGATCGTGGTACCCCTTTTCAGACGCTGCGAGCTCGAGTCGTAGCTGCTCTGCACGTTGCTGCATGCCGTTGACCCGAGCAGCCGCGACGGGATCACGCATATCGACGCCTTGGGTGCGTGCTCCCCCGCCTCGCATCGTGCCAGCAAAGGCAGCGCTTCCACCGTGTGTTCCCCGTGTGCCACCCAGGCCGTTCACATCGAACGCTCCCCCACCATCTGGTTCAACGTCAGCCTCAAGCTCCGCTTCGAGATCAACTGCCTCGCCTCCAGGTTCGAAGAACGGATCCACTGGAGCGTCGTCGTTGTGCGCAGCAGCTGCTGCAGCAAAATAGGCCTCCTCCGCAGCAGCTCCAGCGTCGACCGGTGATGCGGCACCGCCGGGAGCGCCACCTAGAGGACCACAAACACAAGGTTGTTCTTACAAATGGTTTCGTAGTGCGCAGGAGCGCTCAGGGATCATGTCAATGTATAAACATGTACTTATGTCCTCGCAAGCTGCTGCAGCAAATGGAAATGTTGACAACTTTATGAACCAGAACCTCATCTTTTTATTCGAGAAGTAACCTATGGACTTAATGAAACATACAAGAGTATTACCTGGTAGGTCTTTCGCAGGAGAAAACGGGCGACCATGATGCATGATAGATTCGTTTAGCCCACCTGCAAATGGATCTGACGAATTGTGGCCCTCTCCACGGAACCCGCCGAAGAGACCTTCACCTGCGGCTAATCGCGCCTCTGCTTCCGCTCGGAGCCTTTCTGCATCGATCTGTTGCTGCTTTGCGATTTTTCTTTGGTTGGCACGTCTTTTTTTCTGTTCCTGCTGGAAGAGGTCCTCATACTGTGCGGCGAAATCGGCCGAAAATCCCATGCTAATTGCTACATGCTTGCGGGGCGCTGTCCCCGTTAACGCGTGCTTGAAAATATCGTCGCTAGCTGAATTAAGTAGTATTTCAATAAGATGAAAACGCGGTAGGTATATTAGTAGACAATCAGCCTGGGACGATCTAAAAATGAAGTTGTACTTGTAGGCCCATTTCTCCACCTACCTCGACCATCACCATGGCTTCGATTTTTAACCTAACTTCAAATTTATAAATCCATATCCACTCTCATTTCTAATCGGTTTTGCTTTTGCTTTTGCTGGGATAATTTGTTGAAAGTTGTACTAGAACCAACTTAGTATGTATAATTTAGTACGCGCTTGACAACATGCGTGCTTAACGAATGCGGCTGCTTCGTTGGAACATTCGAGACCTGTCTTGCACACAACGTTCCAATCGTCAACTCCATCCTCTTCGCGTGTTTTTGAAATTTCTTCGGGACCCCACATCAGTTGTGGTATTGGGAGCTTGTGCGTGTTTCCATCGACAAGGGGCTTGGGAATGGTGGCATTGGGATCGTAGGGATCCAATAATTTCCACCATGAATTTCTTTCCCACGCTGGGGCGAGAGGTGCAACACGCGGTGACGGTGGAAACGCAGCTGGAGGATGATTTGTTTGGCAGTTGTCTCTTCTGGTCACGGAACAGAGTCAGAGGACGAACAAGAGATCCTCTTTTCATTCTTGTGAGACATCTAATTCTAAGGTTTTGGAGAGGAGGAAATGAAATGCATAAGCTATTTACTCGCAGTTGTCGTTCGTCATGCCCCTCTTTAATAGTACCCTTCCAATTTATATTTAGTTCGTGGCGAAACGCCAAATAGCAGCCTTGCACTTGCTTTTCTTCGACCATCTCCATCTAGTTCTAGTAGCTAGTAGCAGCGATACTATTTAATTTCCATAAAAAAGTATTTTTCATTGCTGTATATCTATATCAATATCTACCCAGTAGTAATACCATCTGGAGGGCCTTTTTTTGCTGTGTCTGGTGCGGTGGCGGGTGGTCCCATTTGCGTCCCGGGCGTCTGCGATGGCGGCATCGCGCCGTCGCCGTTAGCACCACCCGGTGTCGCGCCTCCTGTCGTGAGACCTCCTGGCGTGGCTGGTCCTCCTGGGGTCACTGCTCCTGGAGTCACGGCTTCTGTGCCTCCTGGCGTTTTCTGGATATCCTGTTTTTCTGGCTCCTGACTCTTTGCAGGAGTCATGCCAGGTTTTGCGCTCGACGCTGGTCCCGCGCTCTTTTTTGCACTGTCTGCTCCGACGCCTCCACTTTGTTCTCCACCCGGGCCTTTCTCCCCCTTCGCGCCTGTTCCATCTTCGCCTTCCCGTCGCGGCGTAATCAGCTCTCCGCGGCCTATTCCCTCGGCCTGCAATTGCTGCCGAAGTTGATCTAGTTCTTCTTTCATCTCGAAGATCGGCTGATTTGGAGGAGGGACCAGCGCAGTGGTATCTGGAATATCAGTGTCCATATCGTTCTTCGGCAGGTCCATGTGACCCATGTCCTGTTCCAGCAACAAGAACGTCCCAGACGGATGCACGCTACAGGACGAGACCTTGAAAAATGAAACGATGAAATTGTCGGGAAGCCGGGAGGGGGAGCGGGAGATCTAGTATAAATTCGTTAACAATAAACATCGCTCGCGTGTTGGAATCAGACTCTCAGTAACAGTGTAATCGTAATGTACTTGTAATCGGTAAAATATACCTTGAACTCCTTCCGCCGCCTATCATTTTCTTCTCTGGGCATCAACCAAAGGGGAACCCTCCGAAGCTGGACTTCCCTGTTCGCATTCTCATTGAGCTCGTCTTCATCGAGGTCTATGTTTTTTCCCTTCTTGATATACGGCAGCAGGTCGCAGAGAAACTCGGCTGTTGAGTTGAAAAAAAATTGATGCATAGGTTATTGTGGGAAATACCAAAGAAAGAGTCTGGGAAGGACTTTTTAGGTTGTTCGCGTACAACTACAAAATCGCAATCGACACACAGAGCATGATTCTGAACCCGATAATAAGGAGTTTCAGTGTGTATTATACTGTCAAGTTCCTCTGTCAGCGCGCTCTGCTTCTTGCTTTTATAGGCCCCCTTCTGCCCTTTCGTCCGTGTTACAAGGTTTTCGAGGGTCTTGTAGACTCCGTCGTGAAGGGCTTCGACTTTCTTTGAATAGTGCTCACTGGATTTCCCGATGATCTTAGCCGCTAGCGGCCAGTTGATCTTCGTCGCACTCGCCACGCTCTGGGCTTCGTCGAAAATGTCCTTCATGCTTTCCATGTATCTGTTGATGTCGTCCCCGACATTGACGTCCCAGGCTTTCGCCATATCCTTGATTGGGAGGAGGAGACCAAGGCCCTCCATCTCCCTTTCCCATTCTGTGATGCGCTGCGCAAGCTCCTCTTTGCTTTCTTTCTCCCCCTCAGTGTCACTCTCCAGCAGACCTCGTGCTTCGTCGTCGACCTCCATTTTCGCGCTGCCGTCCTCAGCCCCGCCGAGCGCAGCGTCGACGTTGTGCGCCTGTGAGCGCGAAGCTGGTGTCGGCATCTCGAGAAGACCGTTGAAACTGGATCAGAAATGAAGGCGTCTCTGCTTCAAAAAACCGAATCGTCGACAGAAGGCTTGCAGACACAGACCAGCTTTCTTCAGCAGGTCTTTCAGCAGGGTCGCATTACGATCATTTTTTTTCTTGATTCCTCGGCCCCGCTTTCAGATGCTAGAAAAATCTAACTTTTCGGAGAATAAAAACTGAGAACCTGAATGATATTCCTACGTACCTCTCGTTGAGTAGTTCTTTTGAAGACGCACAATCGGATTGGCTTCCGTCCGGCAAAAATCTTCCTAGTCCTACTGCTATCTAAGTGTAGTAAGTGTTCTCGTTTATGCGGTTTTGATCATGTCAATTTGTGAGGGTGACGCGACCACCTCATCTTCATCATGACTTACTACTAACTTGGGCTCGGCCTCCTCCGCGTTCTTTTTTTACGAAAAAAGCGAGCATTTGGAGGCGGTTTGCAATTTCCCTTATGAATGAGGCCAACCGCAGACGGCTCGTCCTCGAGCACTTCTTCTAGTACCACCATGAATACATGAAGAAAAGATTTAGATGAGGCGCTGTTCTCGTCGAATTTATTTTCTCCGACAATCCAAGCCAGTTAGTACCTTTAAACAGAAGCATCGCCAGGAACATATCAACGCCAGAACTAGCAAAGTGCGGAGAGCACCCGCCAATTTTTCAGTTTACTCTGCGTCTGCTTTTGTATCTTATTCATATTCTCCTTCTTTGAGATTGATAAAGCGTAACACGGGATGCATGAGCGCTCAGGGTGCTGGGGGAGGATGAAAAATATGACATTAGGCCCATTTTCGGTGGGAATCACTGGTGGAACAAGTCGAATAAGATGAAAGAGCTCTCTTTAAACTTAAAGGAACAGCATGATTAGTCTGAGTATCGAATAAAGTAAGAGTAGAACAGTTCCTAAGGGTTCCCAACATGGCTGGGCTGGGCACGCTGGGCACACTGGGTCGCTGGGCGACCCAAATGTGGCAGATCTGCCGTATTCTGCGCCGAGCGTGACGCTGGGCGTAACCAATTGCGGGGCGCCCTTCGGGCGCCCGCTTGAGCACCCCGCCAGCAGTGCTAGCCTAGCGTAGGCCAAGGCCAACGACCACGCTGGCGAGTTTACTATTGTGCACAGGAGCGGCGCAGCATTGCACGCATCGAGCAGCGCATTGCAGCGCGACGCAGTGCAAGCCTGAACAGAGCAGGCGCAGCACGCTACTGCGCAAACTGGCGCAGCACTGCGCCAGCGCTGCCCTGAACCTTGAGGGCGGCGCGCCGCCTTTGTTTGTGCTCACGGGACGCGCTGCACCGCGTCCCCGCGGCGCAAGTAAATCCATGGGCCGCGCGGGCTCGGCGTGCCTAATGTGTGGCCCTCAAGTCCGCTAAGCGCTATCCAAGCGCCCGCCCAGCGTGCCCAGCGTTGCCGCCCAGCGTGCCCCGCGTTGCCGCCCAGCGTGCCCCGCGTTGCCGCCCAGCGAGGCCGCCCAGCCACCCAGCGTGCCCAGCGTCTATAAACTACTCTATAAGAGGAAGCTCAAAACTCGTTTTCAAGCTTCAACATTGGCGAAATCAATTTGCCGCCCTTTCATGGAATTCGGTCGAGAGCCATTCCTCTGTCATGAAAGCGTTCCCGGAATCCGCGTCATACTCTTGCACGATTTGTTCGAAGAGGTGCTGAAAGCGTGCGTGCCCATCGGGGTTGAGCGCATCGGCAACTCGGCCGGTACGAGAAACGAGCTTGAGGTAATCAGCGTCCTTCTTGCGAGGCCAGGTATTCCCATGCTCTCGGTTGCTGAACATGCGAGAGAGCAGGTCTAACGTCTTGAAAAAGCTCCAGACGTCTGACCGAGCAAGCTGCTCACACAGAAAATCAAGCACCAGACGTCGAACTTCGGCACTGAAGCGGCGTGCGCGGTCTGAGCTCCCACAGACATTTACAATCGTGTCAACACACAGACGCAGAGCCCAGTGGAGCGACGCACTGCCCATCGACGCAGAAGTCCTAGGTTCAAAGTGTTGGGGTTGCGCAGAGCCATCAACATGTGCATGCATCGAAGTGGAAAAGTAGTCTACCAATTCGCGTGACTGAACGGGCAAGCGGGACAGAACTGGCACTGCTCTTGTTTGGAACACTTGCAATTGCTGGTGGCGCGCCTCATATTCTTTGTTTAGCTGTTCCAAGGCCGTCGATATCTGTCCTGACATCTGCATGTTTTGTGGATCCGACAACTGCTGCTGTTGTAAGTGCTGTGCCCGTGCCTCCAGCTGCCTAATCTCTTGTTCTAACTGCTGTTCCTGAGCCCAACACCTCTGGCAGTATTGCTGTACGCTTTCTGCGCTCTGGCAGGCCATGATTTCCGCTACAGACTGATCCAAATGCAGTCTCCGCGCAAGCTGGGCCAGAGTTGTCTCCAGGGAAACGTGGTCGCCGCCCCAGACGTGACGCAATACCAAAGCGTTCAGACACAGAGCAGCGAATATCGAAGCACACTTTTGTTTCTGCAGTTCGAGAAAGTGGTGCGCAAGCAAACTACGCGCCTCATGCTCTATGATGTTGCTCCCTGCTCCCCCACTGCCAGCACTGATGCGTTGACATAGGTTGTTCTCAGATGATATTACAGGTACAGATGCTATTCTGTTGGTTTTTCGGAGCGCCAGACAGCGGTGGTTCCAACCGTTTACACAGCCATATCGGTTCCGTATCTTTTCGCCCTCCGCTAGCTCCGCACTCACCACATCGTACTGAAACGGGGATGGCTGGTGCAGTATGCTACCTGTAGTTCTCGGCCGTGGTGCTACGGTGATTGCGTCACCCTGAAAACATTGAGACAACAGTTGTGGGACATTTGGCACATTCTTGACACTCCCGTTCTCCATGTTGCCAGTTCTGCCAGGAAAAAGATTTTGCTCGCCTTTGCCACCTATGGATGTAACTGTACTAGCATGTTGATTTTGTTGCGGTGAAATTACTGCACCAGTCTCAAAAAGGCGTTGCGGAAGCGAGCGCGACCCAAAAACGTGGTCGGGTAATCGCAACATCTTCCGGTCTTCGTCAAAGAAGTAGTTGAATTGCAACAGCGATTGCGAACTGTCGCTTCCAGGCAAAGCCTTCGCTTGCCGATCCATAAAGTAGGTCACATGTGACGCAAGCCACAGGAGAGCCAAGGAAAGAAACTCCACTGAGCGAGGTGACGCGGACGATGATGTCGCACCGCTCGAACCACCTTCACCTCCTTGGCGGACGGATGTTGAAGAAGTGTCGTTTGTGGAGCCATGTCGACCACTGGTCATGATAGCTCGCGTAGGATCTTTCGAAGGGTGCTTCTGGACTGCCGCAGCGTGTGACGCCGGAAGTGAAATGTGACGCCACTTTCGCACAAGGCACAGGCCACGACATAAGCTGGTCTGTACATTCGGATCTGCGAGAATGAATGAAATTTGGCTCATCCGCGTCTCATAGGCCGGCCGCTGTTTTTCCTGGCGCAGAATAGCAGATATCTCTTGCTCCAACAACGTCGGCTCGTTTGAAGTCGGCGCGTTGGAAGAGCCTCCTCCTGTTGCGCTATTCGCACCTGCATCGCCTCCTCCTGTAGATTGCTGCTGGCCTGGTGTTTGTCCAAATCCGCAATTCGGTATGGCGCGGTCTAGACAATCGATTAGAGGCGCATGCTCATCCCATACTTCGTTCTTGCCATCTACAAATGACCCGAAGGCTCGCCGCTGCGCGATCGCTTGCCCCATCATCTCCGGCGCTTGCAGATTCAATCGTGGCGCGTTGATGCGACAGTAGCCATGCATGATCCTCTTGCACTCCTGCATTTCGAACGAGATATGGAGGTCGGCGAGGTGCGGATAGATCGGTTCTAACGTTGAAGCACCTGGCGGCCCAGCTGGAGTCGCATCCTTGGTAGTGCCATGACCTCGTCCAGCTGCAGCCGCGGCAGCCGACGGTCGGGGTCGCGTTGCAAAAAAATAGAAGTCATAAACAGTGGGCTTGTACTCGATGATTGTGTACTTCATTGTCTCTTGTAGCGCCGCTTGCGAGTCGACTAAGATATTCCGCCACTTTCCATGTTGAAAGTTGGGGTTGCGACACCTCACTCGCAGACCCGAACTAGGGATCAGACGGTCGGGGTTGGCTCGTGTCCAGTCGTTCTCTGTTATCGTGGCCCGCACGAGGTACGGGGACTGTTCCCGAGCCTTCACCTCCGCAACTGATATGGATAAATCAAGAGGATTTCGCAAGTGCCCGATTTTCAAATCCGCTTGCCCAGTGCCGTCCCTTGAAAGCATCATCGAGAAACTGCGCCAATCCTGTGGCCGATGAAGCTTCGACGATGAAGAGGTGGCTCCGGCTGTCTGATGTTGCAATCCTGGTCCCAATCCAATTTCATTTGGAGTCACCTTTTTCGTTGACGAAGTACCCGATGTCGCCATCAGCTGTCCCAATTTCTCCTTGAAATAATCACTTTGTTCACCGAATTCGAGGGTCCAACGGCCTTCTATGCTCGGCTTGAGCTGTCCCGTGTCGATAAAGCTCATGAGCATGCTACTGCGGAGACAAGATAAGTATGGCTCGAAATCCGGGAAACAATTGGGTTCCCAAGAAGAGCTTCCGCCCGAAAGCATTCCCTTCGATGACGATGATGCGCGCTCTCTTCCACTCGCTTTGCTCCCGTCGACAAGCCTGTCTCCGACCACTTTGACAGTGGCTCGCACACCGTCTGCTTCTACCCCAAGGGCCGCATCAGCTTCCACGGTCACACCTAGTCCAGTATCCCCGAAGCCGTTCCGGATCTCCTTCCTCACTCCCATCTCCACTTCCTCAGCGTACTCTATCAATTCCCTCGCAGCAACATCCTCATCTGCGACGACAGGTCTCGGAGGAAGCTCGCTCAAGGTCCCTGACGGAGATGTCAAGCTGTCTGGAGGACGAGTAAGATCGACACGCCCACTGGAAAGATATTGCGCCGCTGCCTGGTAGAGCAACTTGCTGTCGCCAATGAGGTTCAAAATCGCTTGCAACTTAGGGTCTTTCTGGCGAGTGTCTGCCCGGTTTTGCTGTTTCACTTTACCCAAAACAAGGCCGGCATGGGTCCGGCGCTTTTCTCGGACATATTCGCGCACTAGCGGCAACAATGCGTCGATAAAAAGGCTTTGATTAGTATCGCTGCAGTGATTCATCCATGAATTCACGTGCAGAAACAAGTCTCTGAAGTCAGCTTGTGTAGGTAAGCAGGAACGAGTTGTCACTGCAGGTAGAGCTTTTGCAGTGTTTTGTGCAGCAGACGTGTTGCTTCCCATCTGCTTTTTTTCTGCAAGCGGTGGTCGTCCCCTTGGTCGCTTCACTTGGACTGTATCATTAGACACTTCGCCTGCTTTGCTCCCGATAGTGCCCTCTTCTACTTCTTCCGTTTCGCCAAGGAGGGAGCTTGGACCATTGAAATCTGCGACGTCCCTACCAGCTTCTAATCCAGATGATTTGTTCTGATCTTCCAACTTTTTCCAAGCAGCCATTTTTTTCGCTTGCTCCAAGCTAGCTTCTACTGCGGCACGGAATGTTACACATCCATGTTCAAAAACACAATGTCTGACAAGACTGTCCTCGATTTCTTGTAGCTCGTCTTTCTTGAGGCTGCCACGGAAGACGTACGCACCGACTATGCTAGTCGGATCACGAGTCCGCGAGAGAACGTTCTGCGCGTCCACACGACTAATTGTGCCGTCACCATCGTAGTCGAAGAAGCGAAACATCTTCGACAATGAGCCCTTTTGCAAGCGTTCGTGAAGCAAAGAGAACAATTCGGAGACGAGCTTCAACTGTTAGACATATACATAGTTGTTCATCTTTAAGACCTGTCCATTATCATAATCATATCCTCAAGTAGACTACCTTTGAGAGATGAACACGTGAAAGATGAGTTACGGTCTACAGTCTTAAAACCGCAGCTGTGAAATCCACACAAGGCGTCGCATCGGCAACGGAAGCAGAGGTATTCGAATCGCGGCCCTACGTGCTACCGCGCGCGCTTCTTCGGTCTCTTCCCCGTTACTGGTCCCCGGCTGTTGCTCTTCATTGCTGTTGTCACCTTCTGGATCATGGTCCCTTGCGCCCTTTTTCACTCTTTTTCTTTCCGTCTTGTTGTCCTCGTTTCCACCTCCGTCGCGGTCGTCGTCGGACGACAGCTCGTCTTCCTCCTCCGCTGATCTCTGTCGACTAGAACTTGTCTTTTGGAGATTGCGTCCCAGGACATTGCCACCGTCGACAGGCTTGGAGAGTTTCCGGGCTAAAACGGTTGCCGAAGCGCCTGGCAGAACTGCCTCTGCGGTAAGCTTAAAGTCACCAGTTCCCGCTGCGTCGCTTTCGCTCGCCTCCGCGTCGTGGCTGCTCCGCGCAGGCTTTGCGGGCTCGAACAGAGGGACCTTGCGGCACACGAGGCTCTTTGGTAGAAGACTGAGAACGTAGAGCAGTGTGCACCCCACATCGCGCTCGCGGACGACCCAAACGCCAGAACGAACTTCCTGCGCGCGGTCTCGACAGTATTTGTCCATCGAAACTGAAAAGAGCTCACCAAAATCTTCTGTCATCGTCCCGTAGCGCGAAATCTCTGCTGCTAGCGTGTCCCAAAGCTCACGCTTCTCCCACTCCGTTCGCTCTCTCCACTGCGCTAGAAGCGCGAACGGATCCTCGTCGTCGTCTCCGTGCTCAAGAGCATCCAAATGATCCGCTCCCGCAGCGACTACCCCACCTCGTGTTGAATTGTAGATCTCCTGGGGGTTGCGACTAGGTGGCAACATTATTCCTGCCCCACCGCGGAGAAGCATGCTCGGAGGAGATGATCGTCCACTTTTGTTCAGGATGCTTCCCACCAAAGCACCAGCGGCAGCAGTGGACGCACCTGCAACACCCATCTTTGATGTCAGCATCTTTGTTCCACCCGTCGCAGCAGCACCACCCAACAGGGTACTCTTGTTTCCCGACAGTGATACGGTGGAGCTCATTACAACTCCGCCAGGTACAGCAGCTGCTGATGCTCCGGACGACGTCGCAGCAGCAGCTTCTGCACGATCCGCGTCATCTGTGAGAATCAGTCGCTTCAGTTTAGTGAAGAAGCCGTCCCGCAAGTCGCGAAATAGTTCCGAAAACACCTCTCCACGAGCCACCTCCATGATGTCTAGGAAAGATATGGCGGCATCCATAGAGGCATCGACCCCGCGAAATGCCGCCTGCTGGAACACCTCGAGCTCCTTGCGCGCTGCATTGGCCACGCTTCGCATGCGCTTGCGCTCACTGCTGCTAGAAGAGGTGTGCTGGTGAAGTTGTAGTTGCTGTTGCTGCTGCAGCTCACGCAGAAGGCTGAGACTACTCGTCGCCAAGAATTCGCGCGCCTCATCGTGCCACTCTCCGAAGAGCTGAGGATTATGCAGTAATCGACGCAACTCCTCTCGCAGTTGCTCTTCCCGTCTCATAATATCCACTGTAGCGTTCGTGGTCTCCACGGGCGCCGTCGCTTCCTGCCGAACTCCACCGGTTCTTGGGCGGGATGCGGTGGAGCTGGCATTTTCGTGGGTTCTCTGACGCTTTGACGCCGGCTCCCCCATGTTCCATCCACTCCGTCGCCGCGGCGAACAGAGACGCTCGAGCGCGATGCACTTTCACGTTCACCAGCACGCTGTAGATAGATCGCCGACATACGCGTCAGCATGATCTCTTTGGAGGCCGACACTGAAGGAGAACATTCGCATGTGATAGTGATATTTCATCACGACGGGAAAAGGAATAAGTTAGAAAAATAATCACGTCGTACATAAGGAAAACATGAACATCATACGGATAACTGTATCTTTATCTCAATACACCTGCGAGTGTGACCTGCCCGATTTGCGAGTAAATTGATTTACACGATAAGAATAAGCCCTAGGTGGAGCCACATCAGGGGGCCTCTTTTTTGTCCTCATGATGCGCGCAATTCTTTTTCACTTTCTATCATGGCGGCGTGTTGTCATTGTATCGTCTGATGATCCAACCTGGAAGAATTTGTTGACTTTAACCTCCACCGCCTACAAAATTATGCCAGGTGAAACCAGAGGAACTGTCGCGGGCAACCGGTAAACCGATCATCTTCCAAAGATCTTTAGACCTCAAACGTTGGGTACCCACATCGAAAGTGAGGATCGCAATCAGACCTGAGATTGCGCGAGGATTGAGATTGTGCACTCTGTATCATTTGAGTGGTCGTCAATTCGACGTTATGCATGTTGTGATTGTTTAATGTTTCTACAACTTACCCTCAGCTCATTCTCGTATTTTCGGTGCCAGTGGCACATCACTTTCCAGTCATAATTGTCCTCATCCATGAGCCTGTTAGTCTTCAGAATCAATGCCATTCGCTGCAGACAGTTGCAGGTTAGCATCAGATACAACAAGAAGCGAGTCGTCTGTGCTTTGGTTTGTCCCACTCGTTTTCTTGTCATGTTCTGCTCAAAGTCAATTCTCGTAGGTCTACCTAGCTAAAATGTCATCCACGACAAGGATCGTGCTCGTTAATGTTTCTGTTCTTGTTCATCAATAGCAATGAAACTGAGTACCTAGTTTAATACACAAGGAGCTGCAACAATGGCATAAGAATGTTTATGTTTTTTCATTTAAGCCATACTGCGACAAACCGTTTTGTACATCAAAGCTGGAGCGGTATTTTAGACGCCTCTGTGTCCGAGTTACATCATCCATCGTACTGCAACTTTACCAATTCTGAAAATTCAAATTTACCCATTTCCTCTCATTCTTGGTTAACAAATGATATTGGTGTCGAATTCAATGTGCGTTATCGATATCGCTATGGAAAATGGAAATAATTTCACCAGCAGCAGTCCCAGCAACCTTTAAGCATAATCTACTTAAGAGCATCATAATCTCCACCTGCTGCCCTCTGCAGTCTATTGCGTGCACTGTAGAAACAAAGCGTTAGGGTTTGATTCATCGTGTCTTTGGATGATTCAATTCCAATGAATTGCTTTTGTTTGGCTTTGGTATTGATTTTCTTCACACAATAAGAAGGGTGACGAAATGTTTAGATTGTAGGCGCAGTCATTAGTTAGTCACTGATTCGCTTCTTGAGTCGAAGTTCAAAGACTTCCTTTCATTTCTCTCATCCTAAGAGTATTTTGGAAAGGAGAAGAAGGCAGACCAGAAGAGTACCGGTCACTAGCTGGCTGTAATTACTCTCTGTTATATTTGGGTTAATTTTCTAAATATCTAATAATATGTATAAAGGTGGTGGTGGGGGTATGAAAGAGTAATAATATTTATATAAATATAAGTACGCTCATGATCCTCGCACCCATTCGCGACAGCACTCTAAATGTCGGGGTTCTTCGGCGAGGTGGTTGAGAATATTGATTACTTTTGCATCGAAGAAGACCAAAAAACTTTACATCCTTTCAGCTTTAGACAAGAAGACCAGGACTGTTTGTGTTTCTGTTTCAAGTAGTATGATATAATTCTTCAAGCTTTAACAGTCCACCCGTACATCGCTGACATCGTAGGCGTCTGACGGCGCGGGTTTCAAGTCGCGGATTGCACTTGCGTCTAAGTTCATCTTCCACGCCCGCCAACCTGGAATAACACGTTTCGATTGAAAGAAGAAGAACGATCACAAGTACAACTTCAACTACAAGTTAATGAAAAAATGGTGGTAATACATTTAGTGTAAGTGGTTCGGCTTCTTCAAGAAGTAGACAGAATTGACAATCAAATCATAGACATCACGATGAGAAAGAGGATGATAATGAACATGAGCGACATCGCAACAAAAAGTTGTAGCTGCAGAAGGCCTCCTAAATTGGTACCCATGAGCAGTTTCTCTGGCAGTTCTTCAGGTAGCTGTGCCTCGATGAGAAAACCCAACTCCACAACCAGTTTCTTGGTAGCGCTGATAACAACCCCCAGGATCGCCCGCGCCGCACTCGAGGAAAAAATGTCGATGCTGACTTCGACGAAGTCTGGTCCTTGGAACCATTCGGACTTAATCTTTGTCGCCACTAGCGCCGGCTTGGTGGGAACCGTTGTGCGGGCAAGCCACGGACCCTCCACGATGGAAGGAATCAATTTGAAGCGCTTGCTTTTGCTCTCGGCTGGAAGCGCCAAAAACTTTTGAAACAGAGGATCTTCGTACTCCTCGCGGCTCAAAGCATGAACGGACACAGCCTGCTTCGGAGCAAAACGAAAATTGATCACAAACAGAAAACGACCCTCGCCGGCCCGGCGAAAGTGCTGGTGGCGGATGACAACAAGAAGATGGAAAAAGAGGTATTCATGAGGAGGCGAATTTGATTCGCAGAAAAATTGTACTTATGTAGATGTACTAGCTCACCGCTAGCCAACTGACAGCGTTCAAGTTTTGCCGAAGATGAAAACAAAAGACTTCCTTTCAGTGGTACCTGCGCGTATCCGTCAGGATGCTTGTAGTAGCAGAGCACGTCTTTTTCCGAAGAGCAGAGATCCAGACAAAGGGTAGGCGATAGTGGCAGGCCAGCAGGGATCTTTTTCTTGTCAGCAAGGTAGTTCGGTCCTCGTACTTGATGTATGGAAAAACTGTTGCTCCAAGCGCTATTCGCGTTCTTGCCTTCTGCTTCGGTAAGAACGCAAGGACAAATAGGAGAATGCGCTGCGGCGTTTAACTCATACGGCATTACCTTCCAATCTCCAGTAAATCGTTGAACGACGCGCTCGGAAGAGTATGAAAGCGGTCAGCGAAAGTATCTTCATCTTGGTCTTGATACGCTTTCCCACTCAGAAAGGCTTTGGATTTGGATTTTTATTGTAGCTGCATTCCGATTCCTGACATTAAATAGAATTCTCAAACATCGTGTTACTGAATATTACAGAGCGTCTCAGTTGTTCAACGTAGAACTTGGTAATAGAAGTTGTCCGTCGAAGTAGCACAGATCAGTCCTTCTCCCGTAAGCCTTTTAGTCCCGTATCTGCTGACCGTGGACTGCCGGATGAAAGCGGCAGGCCCACCCTGTCTTTTGGTGAGAATTTCATGGTCTGCGTGAAAATTCCATTTCCTCCTGCGTTCTTCATTCTTGTCGCGGCTGCCTTGTGATCGCCAGGTGGTGACATGACTGCATTCAACTCCTCTAGGTCCCTCTGCAGTTCCTCGTCATCCTCGTAGTACGACTCTGCATCTAGAAACTCATCCTCCTCTAATTCTCCTTGAAACTCGTCTTCTGCGCCCTCTGGCGGAAAGTAGTCACTACCTTCGTCGTCGGCGGGTGGTCCTTGTTGGTTGCCTCTCTGCGCAGGCAATGGGGACACAAACCCCGTACTGGTGGCCTGTGAAACTCGTTGCAATCGATCCAGCTGTTGCGGCGTGAGATTCTCTGAGGAAGAGGATCCCAAACTCGATCCGCCAGGCGCAGTCGTTTGCGTCGAAGGGTTCGCGCCCACGGCGTCCGGTGCTGACGCGTCGCTTGCGCCCCCTTGCGAGGAAGGAATTGAAGAAAAAGATGCGTTGTTTTGTTTACCCGACTTCGACGCCGACAGACCACTACCGGCTCCTGGTTTGGTTGGGAATGACGCTCCCGACGTTGTTTCCTTTTGTTTCCTGTTATCACGTGGATCCAGTACAGCTTGTTGTCCAGCGTTCACAGGTTCATCATCTCTTGCCACACCGCTTTCCACCGCTCCTCCAGATCCCGAGCTAGAGCATGGCCGGGGAGCGTTACCTGCAGGTCCGATGGTCCCTTGGTCTGAATCTTGATCCCAGTTCTTCTGAAGCGCAACGTCCTCATAATCTTGTAAAAATCGCTTCACGCGCTTCATGCTCAAGACAGAATAACACCAATCGGCCAGATGGTCAATTGCGTTCAGGCAAGTATGAAATGGGAAAGTATGCATCCGACGGGCAGAGCATGAAGGCAGGAACAAAAGTGCCAAGGTGAACGATGAATCTTGCTCAAGAATAGCAAAAATTGAAGAACCTCAAACAAGAGAAACGATAGAACAACACCAAGCCGGAGCCAAGGCTTCTACATACACTGAGGCCCGAGCAATTTAGAAGGTTTGCCGGCTCGCATGGGAGTGCATGGATCGCATGGAGTTGCATGAAGCTAAAGAGGGCGCTTCTTGCGTCCCTTATGGGTCGGCGCTCCATGCGCTCCATGCGTGCTATAAACTGCTCTGTGGGGTGTAAATAATGTATTCGACGCCCAAAGGCCATACATGCTTCCCCCGCTCGCGGTCATGACAGCGCACCCGAAAGCTTTGTTCTTCTTATTTACTTCTTCGTGTGCTGACAAAATTTTCGCGATATTGATTATTGTCGGGAAGACGAATTGCAATCGCAACCACGCGTCGGAGGGTAAAACCATTGCTTCTTTAACATCCTTCGCGTGCGCAGATTCTTCCCAGCTCTTGAGCCAGACCTGGTTATGTTTTATGTAAATGCCTGGTGGAAGATGCCCAACAACACGATCTTCAGGGAAGCTGGCGGAAAAGACCCTCCATCCACGTACGTAGTGCGAGCTCTCCGTCCATTCGATGTTGCATTTCAATTCAACGTCACGGAAGCGGTGGCGACTATAAGCATAAGCTACCTCAAGCAGTCAAAGACAGAGTCTAATACAACAAATCATTGAATAAACGTCACCAAGGACGATCACAGCGTACCTGATTTGCTTGAGCGAATTTTTTGTAGACTCGAATTTTCTCCAGGAAACGCACAAAGCAGAGGAGCTTGACTCTTTCCGACTCGGTGGAAAGGCTGGTTTTTGCTGCTTCGACAACTAGAGAGAATTCCGAAACGACGTCATCCATGAGCTGGATGACGCCTGGGTGGTCCCCTTCCTCAATCTCGTCGAGCTTGATCTGAGCCCATTTGATCAAAAACCTTACACGCTTCAGAGTTGGGGCTGCTCGATTTGCTTGCAATATTAGAGGAGAAAAAGAATCCTTTTGCTTTTGGCTCGTACTGTGACTGAGGGTAGCTAGCGCTAGCCACACCCAAAGAAGTAAGTAAGTAGCCATAAAAGAAAGCGTTTGTGCGTAGCGTATCGCCGTCGCGGCGAGTGAGCCTGCGCCTCTTCATCAGCAAGAGCCTTCAGTTTTTCCTCGCTCATCCCCTTCCATCCAGATCGGTTCAAACGATATCCGAATCCCGCTCCGGCAGCTCCGAGGAATACCTCTCCCATTGATGAAAGAATGTCGAAGATTATTCGAAAAAAAGGCTTCTTCTCCTAATCTATTCAGCGTCACAGGCACGATGAAAGTCCAAAATTTTTTTAATATGAAAATGAATGTTGCCTTCTATGTCAAATATGTCAAAGTAGACAGAGGCTATTGATGCTTGTCTTACTCTTGCTATCTTCATTCATCAAGTACCATCGCCGCGAGTGGTATTCCGAAGAAGGCTCCGGAACTTGCGGCTACTGCTGCTCCTCCGAACGCTTTGGCATAATTCCATTTTTTTTTCCTCCGCTTCGCTTCCTCGACGATGAGATACTGTTCGAAATCCCTGTCGAAATCTTGCGCGCCATGCTCCGAAAAATTTGCCGCCGCGGCGCGCGCAGCGGCATGTGCCCTCTGTCTCCCAGCGACAGTGGTTAGGTCGAATCTTTCTTCCTCGATTGGTTGCACCGCGCCCGAACCGGGGGCCGGCGCGGCTGGTTGCTGTGGAGGCGGCCTGGAAGAGGGAGAGGAGCCACCAGCTGTCGACGACCCGCCGCCCAGTGCGGCAGCTTGTCGCTGTATCTCTTGCTCTTTCGTCCTTTTCATCTTCTCGTCGAGTCAAAGACGACGATCTCTGTTGCTTAAGAGAAAGGGTCCTCAATGCAAATACTAGTAGTTGTCTATTGACCTCCTGCTTAACTGAATCAGGTAGTTCTCTCTAGAACAATGATAACAAATTGCATGAATATGAATCTGAATACTCGATAGGCTGTTAGAAGAATGGACTACAATCCACTATTCCTAGGACAGCGTCGGTAAGCTATGAGATACCCTTCTAATACTAATGTGGTGTCCTCCAATATCCTTACCTAGTTGGCCCAAAATAAATCTCGTTAATAATATAGTTCTTGTTCCGTTTTTTCTCGCAAGAAACTCAAATCGCTCCGTTTTTCTCAACCAAAAACAGTATCAGTTCAAGCTCTGTCGCCTTGTTCCGAGAAAAATTCATGGCTGCTATCGTGATGCATCTACACGCGCAGAAGCATCTTCTGTATGATCTGTGCTGTTGTATCCTGATCCTCTGTAGGTGCTTCGTGTTACCTCTCAGGTGGGTAGCACTGGTATATTGATTAGATACTGAGTGAATTTCCCCTAAGTTGGTCTCATCTTCTTGGTATTGCTCTGCGAGCTGATTTGTTGTTTTTCTCTTTGGAACCCTCGAATACGCTCAATTTTCTCCGACTCATCAGTGGAAGACACTGTCTGGCTAATCCAGAATAAGAAGGCTGTAACACTCCTCGTTTTGCAAGAAGCTGAAACTCTCGTCTTCTATCAAAAAAAAGTTGTCTTCTTCTTCACCGTGCTTCTCCAGTAGGCGACAGCAGACGAGTCTTCGTAGATGCAGCACACATCAAGAATGGTGTACTAGTCTTTATCCCTGAACCCGAGGGTATGCCACAACCGGATCTATTTTCGAATCTATCATTTTCATCTGTTCACTGGATCTTCTAGAGGAGGGCTGAACGTCTGCGTACGTTCATACGAAAAACTGGATTAGCCTGAAGCAAAAAAAAGAGGAAAAACCGAATGAGAAACTGAAGCAGAGAAGGGTAACAAAAACATCGAGAAAATGCGGTGTGATCCATTCGACAGTACTGTGCATAATGATCGGATGTATTTTAGCTGGTCGAACCCGAAGTCCAGTACTAATACTTACTATTTCTAATGACAATTTCATTATTCAGCACTGTTCGATTGCCGTCAGGTGAGGTCAGAAAAATCGGCAGTATTATTTGGCGTTCGTTTTTCATGACCAATCTCGCTAGCATTTTTCGTGCCCGTAGAAAAAATAAATTTGTGGTCTTAGTGTGAGTGTGTATTCGTGATTGATCATGATATTGATGCGCAGTGTTCATTTACATTTCAATACTTCGACTTCGTCTATTCAAATTCACCTTATACATAGCTGCGAGTAGCAATGGTCATTAAATGTAACAGTGTGGTCTTTCTAAGTGACATTGATGCAACCATGGCCCGTGATTGAAGATGCAAAGACACACCCAGGAGTCCTTTATGTGATATAATTGGCTCCAGTCCTCGATTTTCATTCTTCATCCTCCGCGTTCAGGCTACCGGAATCACAATATGCGGAACTGCGCCGCGGCTGCAGCGAGTTCATGCTGTGGATGTGGTTTTAGCGGTCGCATCTTGTTCATATCGCAGCGATAGCAACGAAATCCACAGAGCACTTCCTCGGGTAACTCTTCTGGTGCCTGCGATTCAATCAGGTAGACCAGCTCGACTACCACAGTGGTCATTGCCGCGGACATGACGTTGAGAGCGCGACGTGCGAACCCGGTCGCCAGCGCGTCCATCGACACCTCCAGGAAGTCGGGTCCCTGGTACCATTCAGTCGGCAAACGTTTTGCTACCAACCCAGGCTTAGACCCTGTGGTGGTTCGCACGAGCCACGGTCCATCGATGATCCGGGGAATTATCTTAAAACGCTTGGTTTTCTCCGCAGCTGACATTCGCAAAAATTTTTGAAATAAGGCAGACTCGTACTGCTCCCGTGTGAGTGCGTGAATTGTGGCGGCCTGCCGTGGCGAAAAACGCCAATTCACGACAAAGAGGAATCGACCTTCGCCGGCCGCTCGCAAACGCTGTTTTAAAGGTAGTTCGGAATGAGGTCGAGTTCCATTTCAAATGAATCACCTTACTTTATGAACAAGATGAAAATGTGGTATCGGAAACGGAATCGCGACCTGCATCACGCTTCAACATCAACAAAAATTTCAATTTCTGATAATGATACATAGAGATCAAATAAGAATCGCCTTGGGCAGTACCTGCACATGACTATCGGGATGGGTAGAGTAGCAGTGCTGGAGCTCGGTCTGTGGATGCTGGTGCTTTACGCCATCGACCGAAAGCGTTTCCGACGGATACGGCTTTGCGGAAATTTTCTTCCGATCGACTAAATAGTTCGGGCCGCGAATCTGTCATTGAAGTGACAAAGTTACATACTTACTCCAGAATAATCCATAAGGTTGGGCAGCTCGCATGGCATGGAGTGCATGGATCGCATGGAGCTGCATGGAGCAGGTGCTCCATATGTTCCATGCGTTAAAATTTTTGCGGTGCGCCCTTCGGGCGCCCCTTCGTCAGAGCCCACACGCCTACAGCCCGGCAACCCAAGCAAGAACTTCAAGCATCCAGACCGCCAGCCCCCGAGCCGGCTGCTACATCTCCGAGCCCACTCACTCGCGGGCCGGGGCCTTGGGGCGCGCAACAAATCAGCTTGCTGCAGCGCCGCCAGCTACGTCACGCCTCCGCATTACGCACAAGGCAGCGCCCCCGCGGCGTCAGTCTAGCCGATCAACCGACCCCGACTTCTACAGCCCCCGACCCACCCACCCCCGGGTGGGCCGCGGGGTTGTTCGTGCCCCATGCACTCCATGCGTGGCGATGCTGCGTCTGCTCCATGCACTCCATGCACCATGCGTGCTACAAACTACTCTGTTATTCTTAATATCTACCACGTGGTGTTTCTGCTACAGTAAACAAGTACACTTAACAGGAAATTACAGAAGGAGGATGAGGCTCTAAACCTGGTGCACGTAATGACTGCAGCTCCAGCCGTGTCTGTAGGGATTTTCTTTTTCTTTACGCGGGTCGCCATATCTGGGAAAGTAGTCGTTGTGTGCAGCGAAATTACTTTCATCCTCGATCGACTTCCAGTCGTGCGGAAAGGGCAAGACCTTCAGTGCGCCCTCATCAACACTTGGTGACCCCATCCTACTTCGAGGAGATTCCCCTTTTTGTTGAACTTCAGTATTGCAACTACCAGGTATCATATCCTTACTCATCGCCTCTCCTAGCCGTCTTCTCAATGTTGATGAACCGCTTGTAGCATCGCCGTTGTTCTGCTGCGGAGGCTTTGCTATTGCTGCTGGAGGCTTCGCTGTTGAAGCGTGTATCAAGTAGCTCGTGACGCTTTGCAGCTCGACGTCCGATTCGCCGACTGGCGTTTCGCCAGCATCTCGTCTCCCTACTTCGGACAACGCCCCAGGACTACCTAATGGAGGTGGAGGTAAACCTAGTCCTCCAGGTCCCGGCTCACCGGGACCTCCTCCAAATTCGTATGTGGACGTAGCATCTGCGAACAAATCCTCCAAGTCGTCTGCGTCTTCCGCGTTTACGTCCTCCTCTTCATCCTCCTGCATCTCATTTTCCGCACCTTCAGGGGGAAAATAGTCTACATCATCATTGACATCTTCGTCCTCATCGGAAGAACTGGAGGAGCAGTTCTCCCCTTTCGCTCTCCGTCGTTTCCGTTTCATGAAGTTTCCATTAGAAGATGTCGTTGTTCTTGACCTCGTGCTCGTCTTGCTCTTTGATGAAGATGGATTCTTGTTTGAAGACGAAGAGGCGCCCGTTTTACTTCCTCGTAGAGAGTTACCATTAACGTTATTCTTGTTTTTACTACCAGCTTCTCTGGCTGCTCCACCGCTTCCACCAGAAAGAGTACTCGCTACTCCACCTTCAGGTTGGATTTCCTCTAGCGGAAGATCCCCATCGTCCTCCCAGCTTATGCGTTTCTGTAATGCGATTTCCTCATAATCCTTGAGAAAGCGCTTGATTAAAGGTTGAAACATTTCATTTTTTAGTCGCAATCTCAAGTAGAGAAGGCTTGTAAAAATGAAATGTTTCAACCCTTAATTTGACTTTTGGCATTGCGAGGACAGAATGACACCAATCAGCAAAATGCTCTGCGGCTCCGGTGACACGTATGGTGGGTCGTCCCGCCATGCTACTTGCTATTTTGTTGGCACAGTTGCCAAGCTTACCTCCGAAGCGCGCAATTTGGTCCGTGCCATGCGATCCAAGCAAATGCAGCTGGCTGCCGGCCTTGCGACTGCCACAAATATTAGAGGGACGTGATAGGCGAAAAACAATTACGCGCGCGTGCGGTATAATTATTTCCTAGTATGGGTGATCGTGATGACGTAGATTTCCAAGATCATGTTGACGTTGATGGCGATGTCGATCTAAATAATACCTTGTAGGTCGTTCTGTAAAAGAGTTTCGGGTCCATTTTTTGGGTACGAATCAATACTATTACGTGCATTACTATAACAAGTTTTCGGGTGGTAGGGGTAAAGAAGAATCCTTCCTGAGAAAATCGGTCGTATCTGTAAGCGAGGATGCCAGTGCGCTAAAAGTACGCTTGGTAGGTGATGACTTCGACATTTTAGAGGACTGAGCGTTTTTGGATTTTAACGTCGGAAGTTTGCCGGCGTCGTCAGCCTTGTTATTTCCTGAAGTACTGCTATCATCCGATGTCACGCCACTACGCGTCGATGAAGGGGCGCTGCTTTCTTCCTTCAGAAATTCTTCTGGCGCGCTCAAAAGTTTCGCTGCGCTCACGATTGCCGGGAAGACAAACTGTAGTCGCAACCACGCATCGGATGGTAGGACCATAGCATCTTTACTGTTTGTTATTAGAGCTGTAGCATTTGAATTGCTTGCTCGTGGGGAAGTAGAGGATGATGTTCTAGGACCTCCACCCGGAGACCGACTCCTACTCCTACTTCTGCTACGCTTCTTTCCTGCAGTTACGTCAGAAGCGTCCTCAGCTGGTGGAATGTCTGGCTGAGATTCTTCCCAAGATTTTAACCAGACCTGGTTTGCCTGTGCGAATCGGCGGTACACAACCACACGCTCCAAAAATCGTGCAAAGCATGCCAGTTTCGCTCGTTCCGCTTCAGTACTTCTTCCCTCGCGACTCGCCGCTTTCGTTGCATGCACAACAAGTGAGAATTCCGATACCACGTCGTCCATCAGCTGCACCACTCCCGCATGATCCCCGGGCTGCACCTCGTCAAGTTTTAAGCGCGCCCATTTGACTAGGAATCGGACACGCTTCAGCGTTGGCGCCGCCCGCGACTTCTGCAGAAAACGCTTATGAGTTGCATAGCGCAGTCTCGCCGACGTAGAGGATCCCTTACTTCGCCCAGATGCCCCACCGAGGACTTGACCGCTCATCATATCCTCTGCCTGGTCCATCAGCATACCCTGGGGCACACCTGTGTAATTCGTTAACTGCGCTCGCGGTGTGCCACCGCGTCCCCATCGCCAGAAGCGCCAGCCTGCTGGTGGCGGGCTTAGTGGCCCGCTATTCGGTCCCCCAGGCGAGGCGGCTCCTCCAGACTTGTTGCTGAGCCCGTAGCCAAATCCCGCACCTGCTGCGCCCAGAAGTACCATAGCCGCAAGCGGGACCCCGAAAAACACCCCGGAGCTTGCAGCGACGGCGGCCCCGCCGACCGCAGCTCGTACATAATTCCATTGCTTCTTCTTTCGCTTGGCTTCCTCCACCAACAAATACTGCTCGAAGTCACGATCGAAGTATTGCCACCCCGGGCGCATATTCAGCTCGCTTTCGCCGGGGGAAGCCACATGATGCTCTTGACCGATGGTAGCATCTGACTGCTCCCCCTGATCCGGATTACTTTCCGACGATGAGGCCGCTGCGGACATCTCGGTCTCCTCTCGTTGTTTCTGGTTATGCAACGTTGGTTCCTCCTACCGCGGTCGACACCGTCTAAAGCTGGTGGTGCGATGAAGAGTACTTCTTGTTTTTCATCATTCAATGTCTAGTGAGCAAGAACAGAAAAAATCGAAAACAAATCCTGTTCCGAACAGGAACTATTTGATCATGCCATCGAGGAAAGACCAGTGTTTAGCAAGCATCGCTTCACTCAGACACTTCATATCTATGCCGACAAGTAACCGACGCACCCGCACGTCAAGAACAACAACAATCAACATTGGCTTCTATCATGTCGAGTGAATATTGTCAGCGAAACAACTTCACATCAATCTAGTAATATAAAATATGCAGCAAGCTTGAATCTAAAATCATTACGCACAGACGAAAAAGCAACAACCGCGTCCTAGTTATACTAAAGTCAGCAGTTTTGTTTTGTGGGGGGGCTCAGGGGACAAAATAGCATCATGATCTGGAGCATAATCAGCCCGATGAGTGCATTGTTCATACCCTCTCAAAAATAAAAATCGTGCTCTTACAGGGCTATCATCTATACTGAATTTCTTGTAGTCGATCTCGTCCTACTCTCTTCATCACTCTATCTCATCCGTCAGGTCGCTTCAGAGGAACAAAATGTAACTCCACTTCCACTTTGTGTGTGAATATTCTGACTCAAATACTTGACAAGTTCAAGTTCATCTGGGTCATAGAGCCAAATCCAAAAGGATCAATCTGAATCATCAGTAAACTGTTGATGTTGCAGCCCCGGAAGCTGATTGACATAAGAATTAGAGTAACAAAAACAAATGGCCAGGGCCAGCCAGACTTTGTTCAGTGTAAGCATTGCGGCATAATTGCTCTTCTTCATTTAAGTAGAGAACTAGAACAAGTGAATTTGTAGCGTGTGATATAATGAAGATCATCAAGTCGCTTCCGTGCTCCGGTTACCTCCCGCGACGAGTTGCTCCAAAACGTAGTCTCGTTCGCGATTCTTGATGCGCTGTAACAGGCCACTTGGCACGTCATTTCTCCCTGTAATGCGTCTGCGTTGTGCTTGAGACAAAGCTGTTGCCGAAAATAGTGGGTCGCTTGATTCCACCGCGTTCTCCTGCTCCTCTGCCAAATTTTTATTCCGAGAACCAGATGAAAGTAACTCGCCACGACACAAAGCGTCCAGTGTTGGTGTCGCTTTTAGCGAGAATGCTTCCCGAAGGGCATCAACAGTATCAGCCTGGAACAGAAGAGTTGGTTTCGTGCCGACAGCTGCTGACTCTTCTCCAACAGCAACAGCATCTTGCTGGGATGACGTTGCAGCTCTGCTTGAAGAGAATTCCGACGCGTCCTGCGCGGCAGCCACTCCCGGTCGGATCAAGTTCAAGGTCTTTTTGTGTTCCTCAGCGAGCGTAGGGTCTGCATCACCACCCGCAGCCAGGACGTTTATGAGCATATCCTTTACGCTTTGAGAGATCGCAGATGACGTGGAACGCACAAGGCAACGCACTTTCATTTGTCTTGATGACGCTGTAGTGCTTATAGTGGTAGGTGATTCCGTTTCATCTGCAAATAGTTCCGCCCGTACAAAGACCTCTGGCGAAGCTGTCGCCCTGGTGATAAGTGGAGAATGAATAATTGGTAGGTGCACCATCAGCATCATCTAAATCTAGGGGTGTTCTAGTGACGCTTCTATGGGGAGAAGCTAAAGCCTCTACCTCAACCGGGAAATAATATTCCCAACCTTGTTCCCAATTGCAGTCTTGTCTTCTACCACTCTTCATTAACAGTACCTGGGCACCACGCCAACCAAATCAAGCCTCCGCTGTGCTTGAAGGTGTTCAGTGTCCGCGGTGTCACCCAAAGCGATCGCTTTTAGCTCCCCGCGCAGTTCACAGCACTTGAGAAAATACAGCCAGCCGTTGCTGGTTGCGTCTAGAGAGAATTGCGTCCGCGCTTTAGCTACAAATGAGGCCTCGTTCTCCGCAAATTCCAATGTTGACCAGCGTTTATGGAAGGCATGGGCTGTGTATTTGAGGGGCTGTAGCTTTAGGCGGCTCAACGGCAGCCGCAAAGTCGCTGCCACTCGCTGGTTGTCGAAGGTCCCGTAAGAAAATACGAGGAATGCTGCGGTGGGACCAGATATATCACTTGTTTTCCACGTCCCAGAAGAGGAGGAGGCCGCTGCTGCCCCGACATAAAAATCAGAAGGAGAAAGAATCACTTCTAGGCGCTCTGTTTTTTGTGGAAGCACTTCGCGAACCCCTGTACAGCGTGGTGCATGCGTGTCTCCAGAGAGTTGCGCTAATCCAGGCACACGCGACTGAGGTCGCGGAACGTTCACAGCCACTGGCTCAGTGTATTTCCAAGGCGGTGCTAAGGCAAGACGCTCTGCAGCTCCTTCACCTGATACCCTTGCGTTGACTTGAGTTAGGGTTTGCGCTTGCGGTGTAGCTACGACGCCCACTTGTACTTCCACGACGGCAGAAACGTCGTTTTTGTTCCAAAGAGCAAACGATATCCTTTCACCCTGCAAGTACGCGGATAGTATCACCGTATCATCTTCATATACCGGTCCGCTGGTGCTAATGCACAGATTTCGAAAAAACTCTTCGACCTTTTTGTCCCAACCGCTTGAAGACAACTGACCTGAATATAACTGGAGGACGAGTTGTTTTCTACGTCGACGTGTAAGTTCTGTTTATTGACATGAGAAGCTAGTAAGTATAATTACGCTCACTGCGCTTACGCTGAAAAGATTGCTCGATAAGGTACGGTAAGATGAAGATGAAAAAGGTCAGCAGAATTAGGTACCTTCTGGAGAAATCGCCACGACGACTGGCGAAAAAGACGCACTTCGGACAAGGCGCAACTGAAGTCGATTTGCCGTGTCTCTTTCCTGTCCTGTCACATCAGCACGTGCCAGTTCGTCAGAGGCGTCTGCAATTCTTAAAGCTCCGAGAGGGTCCGAGAAGCCGCACTTTGCTCGATCATCTTTACCGTGATCAGGATCTGTCGCCTTCGTGGTGATGCGTATTTGACTACCCACCACGGTGGCATTCGTGGCTTCGAGTATCCTGTAAAGGTCATGCAGTTCGCGCTCTGCTGTCGTTTTCTCGCGTTTCACTTCCGCAACTCGGGTATGCAAGCTCTGAAACAATGACCGTTTTTCTTCAACCTCATCCATCATGTTGGCGACTCGATCCTTCTCTGCAAATAACCGCTCGCGCGTCTGAGAAAGAACGTCCTCGCGCTCTTCACACCTGCAAAAACAACGCAGAGGCAATGTTACATACATCTGAGTCAGACAGCTCAATGAGCGAGATGATCTGACAAAGAAATGGCATAATTACCAGCAGGAGCAGCACCGTGTTTCTTGTTATTCAGATTATTATAATTAGCCGCGAAAAACTATCTAAGAATCTCAAGCGCACCTTGCGATCAGTCGTTCGTGTTCTGTTTTGAGTGCGTCATGCTCATCGCGCAGGTGCACGACGGACTTTTCCAGTCGCTGTAACTGGTTGCTCATTTGCGTCTCTCGCCTTTGGTTTTCTTGCTTCACCGCCGCCAGGTGTTGACTACTTTGCTGCAGCTGCGTGCAAAGAATCTGGACGTTTTTTGTCTGCTGTTGTAGCTTCTCTGTAGTTTCTCGCAGTTGTTGTTTGTACCTGCGCTCTCGCTCTTCGAGTTTCAACAGCTCGTGCGGGTGCCACCGTAAGTCGAAAGACCTCACGGAAGAGGGTGTTTCAGGACTAGCTTGTATTCCATTTGCACGCTGTAAATCCAGAGGCTTCTTGCCTCCACTTGCTGCAAACGGGCCAGACGACCCAGACTTTGACAGCAAGGCGGCAGCGAGAGCAGCTGCGGCAGATGTGGCTGCACCTGAAGACGCTCCAAGTTCTCCAGGCGTTAACGCACTGCCTGGCGTCGTATTGGTTGCGGCGGGTCCGGCTAAGGAGCTCGCTCGAGACTCATTTACAGCGGGATCTACAATGGTCTGACCCGCTTGGCCAGTTGCGCTCTGCACTCCGGCATCAAATGGAGAAGATTTTGCGCCGCTTCCTGCATCACTCGGAGCGGCCGCGCTTTCGACATCTGCAGACGGCGGCACAGTCCCAACACCCGCAGATCCGGCAATGGCGGCATCGCCTTTACTGCTTAGCTTTTCGCCAAATGCTCCTCGTGGTGCAGGCACCGGCATGCGCACCGCAGCTGTGACGCCATCCATCATCCGGTCAATGAGATTCGCAATCGTCTTTTCGTCTGCATCGTCCTCTGCTTCCGTCGTGCCTTTGCTGTGATTTTGGGCTCCGCGACCCACACCACGCAATGAAAAGTTACCCTCATGACGTCCGCGCTCACGACGGTGCCAAGCGAACATATTCTCACTGCCACTGGAACAAGACCGAAAGTTGTTCGGATCAGCCTGAGCAGCGCCGTCACCTCCAACTTCAGTGTTAACACCGCGGCCACTGCCTTTCTCATCGGGGACCTGAAATTCCATGTCGCTCGTTACCGCGCCTCCTCCTCCGCCAGGATCAGAGTCGGATTTTGACTTAGTCGACATGGCTTTGCTACTACCCGGACCTGGAAATCTATTTTCCTCTTCCGGTTGTGGTTCCCCTATTGTGCCAGCGTCGCTCGCGATGTCAAAAAAATTGGTTGGGAATTCGCTTGAACTGGGTTCGGGAGCGGCAGCCGGTGGAGGCTCCGATGCCCCAGTAGGCTGTGGTGTGTCATTGTCGAATGCCTCCGCAGTACTATCGACGCTAGCCCCCCTTTTCTTCTTCTTTTTCTTTGGACTTTTCTTCCGGCTTTTGCTCGCCTTGGGATCTGCAAAAGCTAACTCATCACCGCTTGTTAGCGGCGCACTCGGAGCGCCTGTAGTTCAAAGAGACAAGAACTTGAGGGGGTGGCTTCCAAGTCGTGTGTAGAAGTAGAAGGTGGAGGCTTCAGAGTACGTCCTCTTGCTTGTTAATGTTATTCTAGGCATGATTGATCCATCATCAATTTTAGAGTATTTCATTATCTTTCTTCTCTAGCCGCGAATGCGACGACAACTCGTTAGAATTAATTACCTGGAGGCTGCCCACCGGTAAAAGCCTCTAACATCTCATCGCCTGTTGCTGCAGCAGCGGCTACTTGCGATCCCTGATCAAAAGCAGATACCGCGCGCTCTGTGGCCGATTTCATTGCATTTGACAGTCGATGGGACATCGCTGATAGTTTTTCTACACGGTCGTAATTACCCTGCTCCAGGCTATTCAGCACAGCCTGCTCGATCGTGGAAAGGAGCGTAACGCCATCAATCTCGCTATCTGGTAGATCCGCTATTATGCGGTCGACCTCGGCTTCAGTAGGTACCTTTTTTATCATGGGTTGTGGTCAGTTGCTTGTGTCAACACTATTCCCTTTGATCCTATTCGTACTAGTAGTATTAGCAAGAAGTGGCTCGATAAACAACTCCATGATTGTTGACGATGAATACTACTGTCGTCAACTTTTATCACCGCATCAAATAACAACACACCTTGCCATCGTGCGATGAAGAAATCGCATCGCTGCCCGCTGGTTCTTTTGACAGGACGGGCGATGACTGGGCTTGAAAATCCATCATACGTGCGCCTCCACCCGATTGTGGAGCAGTCTGATTGAAAGCCGCGTAGTAAGCAGAATCGCCGACCGGCTGCTGCCCCGAAGGTCCCGTGTTACTTGCATCCATACCACGTCTGTCTGGCGGCCCAAGAGAGCCGCCGCCTCCGACGCCGGTGCGCTCAAATGACGCAAACCCATTCATTGGCTCCGCTGTCGGTTGAGGCGCGACATCGAGATGGGCGCCCTGCTGCACTGGCATTCCCATACTTGCTCCAAAAGGGGGTGCTTGCTGCCCGGCTCCTGACGGTGGGCCAATCCCAACTATGGATGAAGTAGGTCCACCTGAGCTGTAGACGTCACCGGCGCCTGGGCCCAAGGCGCCCATGCTGCTGCCAGGGGGTGGCGCATGGCTGCTACTGCTACCGCCGATCTGCTCATTCGGTAAAGTACCCCATGAGCTCGCAACATTCGGGGTGCCGCCGGGTGCTGGATGCGGCACATACGTACTCTGTTCGCTGCCACGCTGAGGCGAGATGCCCGCACGCCGTCGGAAAAAATCAGCTGCGGCTTTCATTTTGTCATTGGCAATGCCCTCGCTAGTTATCTATGTATAGTTTCATTTTTCACCTGGAGTTGATAATTGCAGATGCGGCCTCCATATGCATGTCATCTAATGGTGATGAACAGGCAAGTCAATAGTCAAATAAATGCCATCCTTTTCGAGCGTACGATAACCTACTTATGCCACCGAAATGAAGCATGATCTTGATCACGAGGTCTTCTATCAAACATTATCACGATATCATTGGAACTCGATAACGATACCGCTCCATCAAAAATTATCTCTCCCTATAATCCTTTGACGTGCATCAACACGACTCCCAGGTTCGACGACTTCAATTCAAAGGCAGCGACATCAGTTGTCCGCCCTCCTTTTGTTTCGAAGAAGCTGCGCCTTCATCAATGCACAGTGTGCTACCAGTACCAACCGAAAAGCTCTACTACTCAAGCACAGAACGATATCTTTTCCTTGGTGCATTTCAACTTCTACTGTTCTATCACGTCCGGGGTGTGGTAGCTCATCGCATCTTTCCACGACAGCATTGACGGTTTTTTGTTGCGATAGTCCCACACGTTTGTCGCAGCCTCCGCTGGTCTAGTTCGCATCGCTATCCCTTCAACGTCCACTCTTTCTAGCACGTTGTCTCGAATCATGTTTCGAAAGATCGGCCATGTCAGTCGACTACCGGTTCCCCGCGCCAAGATATCGTCACGGAACGAGCGATCGAGAGCGTAGGCTGAGAAAACAATACGATGCGGAAACTCATCCTCAATCCCGCGCTCGATGTTCTGAAGCGCCGACGCGGCAGCGGCTTTCTGTGTCTGTGGGGCCGCTTGTGCTGCAGGAGTAGCGGCTGCCTTCACCGGGTCGGGATGGAGCGGACGCCAAGGAATGGTCACAATTTGATCGGTGTGCCGTGAGCGCAGCTCATCACGGTCCTTCACAGTGGCTCGCCACATCGCACGTTTTTCCGAATCGTAACCGGGCATTTCGTTTATAAAGTTCTTCCACATTCCAGTGATGAACTTCATGCTTGCTTGATTCGCCATCGCAACGTTGGCTCGCTGGGATGCGCCGGCGCCGTCGTTGGGAGGCTCCGGCACGACCACGGAGCTGCTAACAGCGCCAGCCTGGAACACTGGGACGTGGGAGGTGAGAAGATGCACTTTTGGCAATGGGCCCCGGCCGTCATCGGCGTCCTCAAGGTTGTCCACGTCCTGCGCAACGAGGACTAACTGCTCCGCGGTGTCAGGGATACCGTCAATGTGGCACGGGGGTTGCGTGTAATATGCCTCATGAGGAAGCGGACCATGATCCTGAAAACCTTCACAATTTAACGTCAAAAACGACGAAGACGAACTTGCCCTATGCGCCCTGCCCCTAAAACGAGCGATTCTCCTCGTTCTTGATGCGCTGCTGAAAATTCGGCCTGCCGCGAAAATTTGCAATGGCATATAATTAGATGCCAAAGAGCTTTCGTTCTCATTGCCAATGGGTCCACGCGACCCATGCTGATGGGGCAACGACTCACAAAAACCATCGGCTTTTCCTTTTCTCGCTCGTCGATTTTCCCGCGACGGTTCGTGCCTATCATTCCCGCAGGCGTGGTCATCAGGCTCTAGTGCATTTCCTGAGCAGGCTCTTCGATCTTCCTCCAACGGAAAGAGAAAACGAAGACACTCATCAGCATCCTGCATATTGTTACGCGATGAACCTCATCGTATCCGCAAATTCAAAAACATATGAAACGTTGAAGCGCTCTATGACTGTGGTGGTCAAGAAAAATAGCAAAGACCTACAAAGGCAAAGGATTAAGTAAATCAAAGACAGTTTTTGCGCGAGGCGTCAATACTAGTTGTTGGAGCGAAAAGACTACATGCGGTCCGACTCAAACAACACCGACGGAAGCAGGCTCAGAGGACAGATTCACTGGATCGGATTTTTCAACACCGAACGAACCGAAACGAAGACAGAACAAACTCAAACTGTACTGTAGCTCTAGCTGTAAATAGAAAATATATACGGCGGGAGGGACAGTTGTAGTCCATGCGGTCGAGATATCAACTCACAGCTAAAGTGGTCGAGATATCAACAACTCACAGCTAAGTACACCATGCGCAAAAGCGGGATGAAAGGACAGATGATTTTCCATTCGACGAAGCAGTGGATCCCTCTTCCGTTCGACGTCCACTAGTGCGTCTTCTACGATCAAGTTCGATAACGAACTTCAAGGGATGAGCGACAAAACAGTACGAAGGGGCGAAGGATTCTCAAGGTCAATGGAGACACGAGTTCTGCGTTCGAGGTAGTTATCAGCTCCTGAGATGATTCTCTGAGTACGCTTGGTTTCTACACGATCGCAATCCACGATCAAAAGCATGTTTAGAAACGGCGACCAAAAACGCAAATCGGGGTGGGTTCGACGAATTGCCGTCGACACATATATCTAATCGACATCGGTGGAGGTCCGTCGGGAGCAGTTCCTATTCCTTGCAACGCCGACTGTAACTCGATTCTCTAAAAAAGATTACTTCGATGCTTCTTCGTCTTTAGGTTTTACTATGACTTGATGTTGTTGTGAGTAGAATAGAAGTATGTTCTGGATGTTCTTGTACTAGAAGATCTGATTTATGCCTACCTACTTGGTAACGAAAACAACCCTTTTTTACACTACAAACTAACAAGTACAAAGGTTCGCAAAGCATGCTATTGGTAGTGGGTCTAAAATTACTACCTCCATTTTTCAAAAACAAAATCGCTCATTTTGTGTCAGAACTCGATGTTTGACATTCTCCTGTGAATGAGCTCATTCAAGTACTCGGGGGTGGTGCTCTAGATGTCCACCAACATATCTTGACCACAATCGCCAGTTTTCATACAACCAGAGTGTCCATCCCTTTGTGTAAAGTCCTTTTCGGTGAAGTCCTTCTCGATATCCATGAGATCCTTATATATGTTTCCGGGGTGGAGGCTCCTCCACCCTGTTTGGGTGGGGCCTTGGCCCCTGGCCCCTGTGACATGTATCTGTATCACACTCGACACCAGGCTGTTGTGCATGTCCAGTTCCCTTTTGGATCCCCTTTCGCCTGCTCAGCAAAGCGATATTACCAGAAGATGATGACGCTGGTGTGTCCCGGTCCGGGTCCGCAGCTTGTAGAAGTACAGAACTCTCCTTCTCTGTGCCGGTTGTAATATCCGCATCCTCATTTTTCATCTCCTTCAGTGTCAGAGGTAGAGGTACGCGTCCGAAATCGAGAATGGAGGAAGGAGCAGTTGTTGGCGGAACTTCGGTCAAGCCTGAACACTTGACGAAATTATGCGGACACTGGTGCTCGCTGCAGCAGTCCGTGCACGTCTTAGAAGCGGGATCTAGACAGTCCATTGCGCAGTTTTTGAAAGTGCAGTCCGACAACTTTCCAAAACAAGTTGCACATTGTTGCCCGCTCCCCGTTCAGAATGAGTCAGTTACCTTCTCTAATCTAACTAGCTACATAGGTGACAGTATAATAATAACCGAGACACGACCACTTTTGGACCCAACCCGAAACAAAGAATTTAAAACAGCCAATCCAAAACAAGGCATTTGAAAATACGGAATTTGAAACAGCCAACCCAAAACAAGGAATCCAAAACAAGGAATCCAAAACAGGGAATCCAAAACAAGGACGCCAAGACAAGGAATCCAAGACAAGGAATCCAAAGCCCTGCCCGAAGCAAGGAATTTGAAACAGCCAAACCGAAACAAAGAGTTTAAAGATAAGGAATTTGAAACAGCCAAGCCAAAACAAGGAGTCCAAAACAAGGAATCCAAGACAGGGAATCCAAGACAAGGAATCCCAGACAAGGAACCCAAAACAAGGAGTCCAAAACAAGGAGTCCAAAACAAGGACTCCAAAACAAGGAATCCAAAACAAAGAATCCAAAACAAGGAATCCAAAACAAGGAAGCCAAAGCAAAGAATTCAAAACAGGGAACAATCCAAAACAAGGACTCCAAAACAAGGAATCCAAAACAAGGAATCCAAAAATAGGAATCCAAAGCCAAGGAGTTTAAAAATAAAGAAGATGAAACAGCCAAGCCAAAACAAGGAACCCAAAACAAGGAAGCCAAAACAAGGAATCCAAAACAAGGAATCCAAGACAAGGAATCCAAAACAAGGAATCCAAAACAAAGAAACCAAAACACACAAGGAATCCAAACCGAGACACGCCCACCTTTTGACCCTGCCCGAAACAAGGAATTTGAAATAATAATAACCGAGACCGTTAGGCTTTTGGACCCAACCCGAAACAAAGAATTTAAGACAGCCAATCCAAAACAAAGAATTTAAAACAGCCAATCCAAAACAAGGAATTTGAAGCAACCCACTCAGAACGAAGCAAGGAATTTAAAACAGCCAACCCGAAACAAAGAATTTGAAACAGCCAATCCAAAACAAGAAATTTGAAACAGCCCAACCCGAAACAAGGAATTTGAAACAGCCAACCCAAAACAAGGAATTTGAAACAAGGAATCTGAGACAAGGAATCTGAGGCAAAGAATCTGAGACAAAGAATCTGAGACAAAGAATCTGAGACAAGGAAGCTGAGACCAGGAAGCTGAGACAAGGAATCTGAGACAAGGAATCTGAGGCCAGGAATCTGAGACAAGGAATCTGAGGCCAGGAATCTGAGACAAGGAATCTGAGCCAAAGAATCTGAACACACGCCAATCCAAAGCAAGAAATTTGAAACAGCCCAACCCGAAGCAAGGAATTTGAAACAGCCAACCCAAAACAAGGAATTTGAAACAAGGAATCTGAGACAAGGAATCTGAGACAAAGAATCTGAGACAAAGAATCTGAGACAAGGAAGCTGAGACCAGGAAGCTGAGACAAGGAATCTGAGACAAAGAATCTGAGGCCAGGAATCTGAGACA